GCTTTAAGAACTACTTAAATCACCTTAAAAATGTTCTTAAGGTTTCAGGAGCTTTCTGTACTCCTTTTGACACCTTAAGAGCACTCTATTTGTTCCTTTAAAAAGATCTAAAGCTCCTTAGAAAATATTAAGAGCCTACTTTCAATGACAGCTAATACTTTTTAAAAGTATTTAATACCGAACCTTGAAGAGCTCCTTAGGGACTACTGATATTAAAAAATTAAAGGATCAAATCATTGTTCAAAGGCGTTTAAAGATTTAATTTGCCTATAGAAATTCATAATACTCTTTGGGTATTGAAAGATGTAGCCTTTGTGAGCCTTTTTTTAGATGTCTCCAACGGTTTAAAATTTTTGACAAGGGCGCTAAAGAGTCCTCTAAATCTTGTGGACTCATCAAACACTATCCTCTCTTTAAGAGCTGAACTTGAGACTTTTTCGTCTCTGGGAGATTTTAATGGCCTTAAAGACCTTTAAAGATCGGCTCGAGTAATTAAAGGAGCCTTTAAAGATCTTTAATCTATTAAAGGTTACCTCCCCGAAGAAACTGCAAGGGGCTTCAAAACCTGCTCGCTCTAAAGTGCGCTATCATTTAAGAGCCCTTGAAAGGACTTAGGAGGTAGGTCTCGAAAAGGTTTCTTGGGCTTTAAAAGTTTTAAGGAAGAATTGTTCAAACTCTCCTATGAGATATTGAAATGGTTTGAAAAATTTCAAAGGCTTTTTGCTTTTACAGATTCTGTAAGGTGAATGTTTTTTCTGAAGTCATTGAAGTCTTTAGAAAGCCTTTCGAGTTTTCAAGGGTCTAAACAGTACTCATCTAATATTGAACACTGTTCCGTATGGTTCTGCCCCCCACCTCCAATCTATTTCAATATCCCTAATGAGTGGCGTGACCCCCCTCCCTCTTGCGGCGTTGAAGTGTTAGGGCAGAGCCTTAAAACCTTTAACACAATTTTCAAGGATTTAAAGTTTTAGAAGCATTGAACATTTCGTCCTTAGGAACTTTAGAAGCCTAGAACCATGGAAGGTTTAAATATCTAAATCATTAAGGCGTTAGAGCCTTAAGCCTTAAAATGTATTTAGTTCTTGAGATGCTGCGGGCTTAACCTTTTGGAAGCTTTTGAGCTTTTTACCCTTTGAACCCTTACACTTATTTGGAGGGTTGAAGTTTTAAGGAGGTTTGTTGAAACTGAACGTTTAGGCCCTTTCGTTGGTTTTTGGGAGCGCTCCATGGTTTCTAATGATGTTCAAGAGTATTTAAAAAGCGTTGATCCCATTTAAAGGTCTTCAAAAGACTTTATCAATTTTCAAAGACACTTGATCTTTAACAATCGTTGAGAAGTCTTGAGTTGAAAAGTTTTCGAGTGTGCCTAGAGCCTTACAAATGCTTTCAAATTCCCTTTAAGATCTTGTTTGAGATTTAAGTGTCTTTAATTGCTATTAAGGACCTTTAGGAGTCGCTACGGCGTTCCAAAAACCTTGGAAACTCTTCACGGTTCTTAAAGACCCCTAAAGTTCGGCTTAAAAGAATTTCAAGGACTCTAAAAGGGAACTTTAGATATTCAGTTTTCAAAAGTCTCAGTAATACGTGTCCGTAAAGGATCTATTCGATATTTAGCAACTAAGACTTTAAGGGTCTTTAGAGGCTGTAAGAATCTTGGGATTTTGAAACGGTTTTAAAAAAAAGTCCAAGAACCTGTTTGGGTTCTTTACAAAATTCAATTATCAAAAACCTCGCAGAACCTATAAGGTACTAAAAAGCCCCCCCCCCCTCTCTATTTCTATTTGAATAATCCTGATATTAATTAGTATTTAGGGCCCTTAAAGGTCCTAAAAGCTTTACAAGAGCGCCAAATGGTTATCAAAGGACCTCCCAAAGATTTTCCCTTTAAAAGCCGAACTTTTAGATACTTTCGGGAGTCTGTGAGACTTTTTTAGGGTCTTAGGCCTTTAGATGAGTAATTAAGAGGGTTTTGCGACCTTTAAAGACATTTAATTTTGAAATGAATTCAAAGGCCTTGCCTATCCGCTGTTTCACACTCCCCAGTGTCCCCGGTGCAATGTTTTCCCCATAAAGCGTGTAGTGTTAGCACTTATAGGATAATTTTCGAGAAAAGCAATTATACGATCCTGAATCCTTCTAAAAACAGTATCGGGGGGTCTGGGGGGAATGCCATGATTTATTTTTTACCAAAGTTTACCGAGAGATCTAGGAATAACAATAATTAACTCGTCTGCCTTTTGTTGGGGGTACTGCTAGGGGGTATTCCATACCACCCCAGACCCTCGGTGCTACGTTTTTCCTCCAAAAGTCTACCGTTAGAACTTTTACTATAAATCTTTCAGAAACTTACAAAGGCGTCTCAAAGCTCCCATCTGAAAAAGACGGAAGGGAATCCAAGGCTCTAAATAGTATAGTCGAAGGATTTCTTTCTTTTTAAAACCTTTAAAGAGAGTTTTCAAACCCTTAAGTCATAAATATTAAGCCTTCAAGAGTTTTTAAGGGTCTCTTCTTGAATATATGTCTCTTCGACTCTTGAAAGTTTTTTAAATCCATTAAAGGTCCGCCCACAAAGAAGCTCCAAGAGGCTTCAAAACCTTCCAAACGCTTTGAAGTCTTCTAGCGCTTAAGAGCCCTCGAGGGGATTCAGGAAGTGGGTCTCTAAACAGCTTGTTGGGTTTTTAAAGGCTTTAAGCTCTTTCAGAATTTTTCAGGTTCACCTATGAGATTTTGAAATGGTTTCAAAAATTTCAAAGGCTTTCAAATATTTCAATTGATCTCAAAAATGTATAAGGTACTGCGGAGGTCATTGAAGTCTTTAGAAGCCTTTAGAGTTTTCAAGGATACTCATCTAATACTGAACACTGTTCCGTCTCATTCTACGCCCTCCCCCCCCCCACCTATTTCAATATTCCTACACATTTCTTTGAAGGGAGTGGCGTGGTCCCCTCGCTCTTGCGGCGTTGAAGTGTTTGGGCAGAGCCTTAAAACCTTAAAACTTGTAGCATGTAGGATTTGAAGCCCATGAGTTTAACACACCTACCAGTTAATCTTTTCAAGGAGGTAAAGCTCTGGAAGCATTGAATATTTCGTGATTAGGAACCTTAGAAGCCTAGAACCATGGAAGGTTTGAATCACTAAAGCGTTAGAGCCTTAAAAAATTGCTAGTTCTTGCAATGCTGCGGTCTTAAGCCTTTGAGCACTTTGAACTCTTGCACTCATATGCGCTTTGAAGGGTTGCGTTTTAAGGAGCTTTATTAAAACCCAATGTTTAGACCCTTTCGTGGGTTTTTGGGAACTTTTCATGACATTAATTGGTTTTTAATGACGTTCAAGAGCTTTCAAAATCATTTAAAAAGGGCCTAAAGCTCTTCAAAAGGCCTTTGTAACCTTCGAGTGTTTGAGATTTACGGACCTTTTAAAGACCTTTGATAGTCGCTGCGGCTTTCCAAAACCTTTTAGGGACTTTTAAAGGTTTTTAAACGGTCTAAAAGGAAACCGTGTCCGTAAAGAATCTCTTCGAGCCTATAAAGATCTAGGGTTAATTATATTGTCAAAGAACCTCTAAGACCCTCTAGAACATGCCGAATGCTTTAGATCTCTAGCGTTTAAGAGTCCTAGAGGATATTTAGCAAACAAGTTTTTAAGAGCCTTTAGAGGCTTTAAGAATCCGGGGATTTCTGTACTAAGTTTTGAAACGGTTCCAAAAAAACTACAAGAGCCTTTGTGGGGTCTTTACAAAATTTACAGGTACTTAAATGTCCCCCCCCCCCCAACCATTTCTATTTCAATAATCCTAACATTGATTAGTATTTAGGGTCCTTAAACGTCCTAAAGAAGCTTCAAAATTCGTAGTGTGCTAAGAGTAACTCCAAATTCCATAATAACGGTCCCAAAACGGAGCCTTGCGGCACTCCTCCGCTCACCGTAAATCTGTAGGCCTGAATGTAGTTGCGTATTCTTCTCTTGGCCATCTCTTTTACTGTCATCTGGGTAGGTAGGGAATTAAATGCGTTCTGCACACGCTATTATCGTAAGCGCTCTAGTTCCATTTAGGCATCGTGTATTTTCTGTAAAGCATCCATCTTCCACTGCGGTGGATATCGGTTAGTTCTTATGACTTCATCAAAAGGTTTGGTGAAGATCTTTGAATGCTCCTTGGCCACGAGCGCCACCAATTCCGTAAGAAGACTGGTTCGCCTCTTCCTTTTTCGCCCGCTTTAAACTTGGGGCACGCCATTGACCACGGCGCGTGGCCGTCTTTTTCACACGTGGTGCGTCGCTTGGGATTAGTACACTTTTTCTTGAAGTGCTCTTCCTGGTTGCAGTTGAAGCACCGATTCTTTTTGTTTTGTTCCGGCAATTTGAAGACCTTAAAGAGTAGTAGCCTTTATGACTTTCAACTACTTTTTTCCAAGGTCTTTATGAGACACCTAGGAGCTTCTAAAGATTTTGACATTTTTCCAAAAAATTAAGAACCTTTAGGCCTCTGAGACCACAAAGGAGCTTTTGCAGCCTTAAAGGTCGCTAAGAATTTTTAAGAGGTAATTAAGAGCCTCCATGCATTCTAAATTCTTCAAGTCTTTATTGGACTAGTGCCCAAAAGTCTGTAAGATAAGGTTCCATGAGTCTTTAAGAGCTTATAAAATGTGTGGAGTCTCCAACGCTATCAAAGGGTCACCAACAGCTCTTGGGAGCCTTGTAGACCCTTGGACGTCTTTGCAACCTTCTGCAAATAAAGTTTACAAAAATTTTTCGAACTTTTTCTTTGGGCCAACGTAATTCCCGTTAAAGATAACCCAAACATTGTGGAGCCTTACTCAAAACTTTTGAGGAAATCTAACGCTTAATTAAACTTGATCTGCAAGAAAAACTACAGCAAGGACGAACGAGTTTCCGCGATTAATTATCGACGTCGTTCCATATCGGGTAATTCCTACGCGCATATCAATTTCCTTAGAAGTCTTTAATTTTGTTTGTTAATCGGAATTTTCAATTAAGTTCATTAGTTTCAAATTGGAAATCAATGCATTCACACCATATCGAAAGTTGCTCGTGGTTTGCTGAACACGTTTAAAGTTACTACAAAAGCAAATGGGATTATTAAATTGTACGGTCGATGTAAGTGAATCTCTAATTAAGTGTAATTAAGATCAATTAGTGTTAACTGGAATGTTACGTAAATTCAGTTTAGGGAATTATTGAAACAGGTTTGCACAGAATTATCATTCTGCTTATTTGCATCCTCGTAATTTGAGGTCTCCCATGTTTATTACATCCGCTTCTTCAAATTCATCAATTCTGTTGCGTCTGGTTCATTTGCTTCATGTAAAGCGAATGAGAACTTTTCTGGTGTTTGATTCCCCAAATCGTAGATCCTCTCCCGAATCATAATTTTTTTTGGTTTTTGGATGTAGAATATGCAGGATTAAAAAAATGACACTTGCTCTTCTTTTGGCGTTCTTCCTCTTCTCTATTTTCGCTCTATTTTCACCGTGATTTCTCCGACAAGCATTTCTCCTTTCATCGTCGCTCCTCTTTTCCTTTCCTGCTATAGCTGGTTCTACTCTTCTTTTCTCAAAGCCTTTGCTAATTTGTTCGTTCTTCCTTTGCCCCTTTTGTCTTGCTCTATTCTTTCTCTGGTCCTGCTCTAGTCCTTCCATATTCCACTGTTTCTGTTACCAGAAGGAGGTCTGCCTCTTTTTCAGCCCTCCAGATAGATTAAAATTATATCTTTCCATTCTTTATTTACTCCACTTCCACTCATCCCCTTTTTACTAACTGGTATTTTTTTTCTCTCCCGCTTTTCTATCTCTGTACCCCGCTGCTTCTTCCATTCGCCTCCCTTTTTTACCACTCCTCAACCTCCACTCCAGTTTCCTGCTCGTTTGTTTTATTCTTCTTTAATTCTTCGCATGTTCACCGTTCTTCACCGTCTCGTCCTTATTCATCTTATGCTATTCTCGTTGCGCTTATTTTGGTTTTCATGTGGGCTCTTGCCTTACTCATTTTCTTCTGTTAATTTGCCCATTCGCCGTTGTTTTCCTATGCACCTTCTGCTGTTTCTCTACCTCCTCCACCGTAAGAGTACTAAAGTTTTAGGGTAATTGTTCGAAAATAACCATCAACTATTTCGTTTTCTAGAGGGTGGGAGGAGGGGAGTTGGTATTCCATACCACCGGATACGGTCTCTGCGGTAGGAAGAAGAAAAGGGGTGTTCCATACCCCACACACCCACCTGATCTACGCTCTCTGCTGTACGGAGTCCCTAAACCTAAACGGTTTGAGAAAACAGATGGTATCCGGGGGTATGGGGCATACCCCCCAGTAGACGACAGTTGCATTACCATTTCCGGAATACCAACATACGAATATTGAGGTTTTAGCATAATTTTTCGGAAATTGTCATCGCCTTTTTCGTTTGCTATACCCCCTCTACGCTCTCTGCTGTACGGAGTCCTGAAGCCTAAACGGTATGTGAAAACAGGTGGTATCGGGGGTCAGGAGAGTATGGCATACCCCCCAGTAGATGACAATTCCATTACCATTTCCGGGATACCACCATAGGAATATTGAGGTTTTAGCATAATTTTTCAGAAATCGTCATCGACTGTTTCGTTTTGTTGGGGGGTATTCTATACCCCCCAGACCCCCCGGTTCTATGCTGTACGGAGAAGAAGCTCTCATAATTCTTCCGCAATGACTGTCATGAAAATCTTGAAGGGTCAACGGTTCGTGAAAAAAGGTGCTACCGGGGAGTTTGGGGGTATGGAGCCCCCCCCCCCCCCGGACCCGTTGGTTCCAAATTTTTTCACTAACTGTTTGTGATTCATGACTCTTCTGGCAGTTCCTACGGAAGGATTATGAGATCCTCTTCACCGTACCACAGAGAATGTAGAACCGGGATGTATAAGATAATTTCCTCCCCCTATGCTCCGTTTCTGCACGTTCTTTTACATCTTTTTTGAGCTCCTGGTCCCTCTCATATGTCGCCTTGCTTCTGCTTCTTGCTCGATCATTCTTTCAGCACTTTACTTACTCCGTTCCTGCGGCCTTTTGGATCATTAGGTCGTTTGTTCTCTTTCTCTCTTTTTCCAATCCATGTTCTGCACACTTTCTGTGCCTCTTCTGCCCTGATGCAACCCTTGCTTTGCTTCACGTCGGTTCACTTAGAATATTTCTGTTCTGTTTCTCTGTTCAAATGCTGTAAAACGCATCTTTTTCCCAGATCCAAATGGAGGAGCCGGCCATCCTGGTTCGGGGCGCTTGCAAGCATTACGGTGTAAAAGATCGGACCAATGTGTTAGAGAGTTTGGATCTGACCGTGCCGCGAGGTTGCATGTAAGTACAGCCTGTATTTATTATCTAAACCACTGCCAACTAGACCTGCCTCCATAGATACGCCCTTTTGGGCGCGAGCGGTTCCGGCAAAACCACGCTGCTAAACTGCATGGTGGGAACCAAATGTTTAAATTCCGGAACGATTCGTCTTCTCGGCACTATCCCGGGCGAGAGTGGGGCGGCGTCCCCCGGACCGCGCGTCGGGTACATGCCCCAGGTAGGTGAAACCTCGCGAAAACCTGACTCGATTTGTTAACTCCAGGAGAACGCCTTGTACCAAGAGCTGACGATATGGGAAACCATGAAGTACTTCGGTTGGATAGCTGGGATGTCCACGGATGAGATCAAGTCCCGGTTGAGGTTCCTAGCAGAGCTGCTTCTGATCACCGATCTCGACCAGCAAATCTGGACGTTGAGCGGCGGGGAGCAGCGGCGCATCTCGTTCGCGGCCGCGCTCCTCTACGGCCCGGAGATTATAATATTAGACGAACCCACGGTCGGCTTGGATCCAATCTTAAGGGAGTCGGTTTGGAGGTACCTGATCGATTTGGTCGACCGAGAGCAGTGCACCATCGTGCTCACCACGCACTACATCGAGGAGACTCGTCAGGCTCACAAGGTCAGTGCTATTGGTCATAAACGCCACCGTCATGGTTGACGACTTGCAGGTCGGGTTGATGCGCAAAGGGTACGTTATCGCCGAGAGCTCTCCTCGAGCGCTTCTACAAAGATTCCAGGTGGACACCTTGGAGGAGGTGTTTCTCAAGTTGAGCACTCTTCAGGATATAACCGAGAAAGACGGATCCACTAGGTTCGTTTGCCGGATTCAGGACGATTTCACTTGCAGCACCGCTAAAAAGTACAACCACCCAGTGCGCACGTCTTCACCAAAGCACAAGATCAAGGCGTTAGTCTGGAAGCAGTTCGTGACCCTTCTAAGAAACGTGCCTTTGCTACTTTTTACTGTGATGAGCGCCGCCTTGTCGGTCAGTCTGTTTTTCATCGGTGTCGGACACGATCCCACCGGTATCACAGTGGCCCAAGTCAATTACGAAACCAACCGCTCGTATTGCGCACCGATACACTGTGACAGCACCTCACTCAGCTGCAACTACCTGGAGATACTCAGCAGCAGGTTCTCTAACTTGGTAAGCTTGGGCGTCGGCGTCTGCGGCAATTGACCCCTTATCCACGCAGAGGCACTTGTCATCGGAAGGTGAAGCCTACGCGCTGCTACGTAGCGGCCAAATCCAGGCGTTCTTCGTCGTGAAGGACGACTTCAGTCCGAATATGAGGCGTCGAATTTTCGACTCGAGAAACCTCCTGACGCCAGCAGGTGTCGACGTTTATCGCGACTATACAGGTGAGTCGATGGATTTTGATTCCTTCCCCAAACGTGGTTATATTTACAGCCAAGGACATCGCAATGTACACCAAGAAGGTGACAGTGGATGCGTTCGACGAGTTCACCAGCTTATTCTTGGACTCGTGCAACGTGAACCGGAAGCTGATGAAGGCGCCCATTAATGTAAGCAGTTTTGATTGTGTGAGCTTCTTTGGCACTTATTGCAGGTGGAAACTCCAGTGTATGGGGAAGCCAGCGTGGAGACCACCTACATGGGAGGTCCCGCTTATTTGCTGATGTAAGCTGCTTCAAAACTGGAAAGGTCTCCACTGATTGGGGTGTTATAGGGTTTCCTTTTGCGTGGCTTCCATCGTGACATCCTGCTCTGTTCTAATCGAGAGGAACGAGGGAACCTACGACCGCGTCTTCGCGATGGGCGTCAGACACGTTGAAATACTCATCTCCCATATCATCACCGACTCCTGCCTAATCGTTGGGCAAATCGTCTCCTCGCTGTCGGTCGCGTTCCTAATCTTCGGCTTGCCTCTGAAAGGCTCGATCTTTCTAATATTTGCCTTGGCGGTCGCGAACAGCTTCAGCGGAATGTGCTTCGGTAAGGCTCTCGGAGAAGTTGTGTACTCAAGCTACTTCTAGGTTACGCTATCTCGAGCATCCTCAAGAACGAATCCGCCGTGATGCACTTGCTTTCCGGAAGCATGACACCCGCCGTCTTGTTGAGCGGCACCATGTGGCCAAGGGAGGGAATGCATCCGTTCCTGCAGGAGGCGGCGTGGTATCTGCCGATTACGCAAGCCGCCCACTCCATTTTGAGTATTCTGCACAGAGGCTGGGGACTTTCCAGACCCACCGTGTACCTCGGCTTTGCGAATTGCTTTTCGTGGGCCGCTATTTTTCTAGTCATTTGCCTCGTATTTTTAAGATATGAAAAAACCTAACGAGAAATAAATTTGCTACACTCAACGGAACACCTTCTAACTTATCATGTCTTCCTGATAGAAATTCTTAGGATTACAGAAATGCAAAGAGGTTTTCACACGCAAGGAGAACTGACGTTCCCCTGACACAAACCTACCTATGAAACATGGTTGCATTCGAAAGACATGAATCTCGAAAAGATCTTTGCATCAGGGTTACAGAAATGCGAAGAAAAGTAAAACATATTGACAATTATTTCCTCACGCACTGTGCACTTCTGACGCAAATGTTTGGTTTGAAAGTAGTTGCATTAGGAGCATTATAATATGTTCTCCTAATAGAAATAAATCCTTGAAATCCCAGAAGGTGGCTCACTTTCTCCCTGTTATGGTATTCCGATAGACATTTTCTCGCTGCGGGATTACAGAAATGCAAGGAGGTATAAAAGTGATTGGCAATCACTCCCTCATGTCGCTGCATCAGGAGTAGTGTATGTGCTCCTGACACTACTGTTATGCTTTAAACATGGTAATACGAGAAACACAAAGTTCCCGGAGGGGGTGCTCACGTCCTAGCACCAAGAGTACTAGATGCTCTCCGGAAACATTTATCTCAAAACTCTTGTTGTACTTGAGATACAGAAATTTTACATGACAAACACCTCCTTTAATATGATTTCTCTATACAAACTTTTTTCAGGATTACAGAAGTGCAGAGGGTGTAAAATTTACTAACAAATCACGTTCTGTGCACTCCCGACACTGATTTTAGTTTTGAAATTTGATGTATCAGGAGCATATTCTCCTGGTAGAAATATACCATTAAGACGTTGTGTCAGAAACACAGCAGCAGGTGTACACCTGACTCAAACTTGTTTTGAAAATTATTGCCTTCTGATACTAATTGACACTTGCAACATTGTTGCATTAGAAACACAGAAACCACCGAAATGGCCTAACACGTTCTCTTCTCGCATGTCTTCCTGGTAAAAATTTTCGTGGAAAGATCTAAAATGCTTGTATTAGGACCACAGAAAGTTAAATAATTTACTTTCTCCAAAAGTATTCTAAGAGCATTAGTGAAATATCAGGAGGTTTAGCAAAAAAATGTACTTTCCTGATATAAATGTTTCATTGAAAAACCGTTGGGTGAAGGCTCTCCAAACTCACGAGACATTCTTATGTTCTTTTAATGAAAATATCGTTTCGAAGAACTGCTCATCAGGATCCCAGAATCAATAATTATTCATTAGAAATCTGTTCACTATTTTGTTTGTTTTCCATCAAAATGTTTTGTAGGATCAGGGTAACAAAAAAAACCGAAGAGGTATACAATTCTCTCCAAATATGATGGCCTGATAGGGTATTAGATCCATAAGCACGTCAAGATGTGGCATGAATGAAAGGTTCTTTTGGAGTCTGGTTTTATTAGACTACAGAAAGATAAGAATGTGTATCTAAAATTTGTTGGAATTCGCATTCCCTGGTTCAAAACACCTCACCTCAATTTGTTCTTTGAGAAACTATTGTATTCGGTCCATGGACACGTCGCATACTTCTGACCTGTTACGCTGTACTAACAGAAACTTTAACTAAATTGTTTTATGAGGACTACAGGAGCCCCATGACGTTTCTCTGAAATTTATTGGTAGCCATACTCCCAGGTACCATGTCTTCTTGCTGCACAAGGTGTTAGGTATTAGGATGACGGAATCGCTAGAAGAGTTCCTATTTATTGATACGCATCTTTCACGATATTATGTCCTCCTGATAAAAGTTAGAGATTAGAAGCGCAAAAAGATGTCCCTACGTACGATGCTATCCCGACACAGAATTCTCTTTAATCGGAGATACTTTCCCATGCACAGCAATCTTTGGTAGAAAACCTCTTTCTTACTATGTTCTCCTGATTAAAATTGTATTTGGTAACTCGTGCTAGGTACACGGACATAAAAGATCAATGTCGACAACGCCTTCTCTTCTCTTGTTTTACCGATTAAAAATTCATTTTAAAGAGTTCATCTATTAGGACCTCAGAAATCAGAAGCACCACTAGTTGTATTTGGATTTATAAAACCATCACAATTTTTTGGTACCTCGCCACGTATTTTTTTCATGTTACAAAGCTTGCTCGCAATAGGTAAGAAGGTACTTTTTCACGTTCTCCTGATACCTTCTTCATTGTATCAGAATCACAGAACGCACAAGTTGGTACAAAATTTACTCATAAATACCTTTTCAGGTGATATCGTGATATCGTTTAGGATTCACGTTTTCATAGGTCCTTTAACACACACTTTTCTATTGAAAGTGTGTTATTATGGTTTGTCAAATACCTCCTCATCTAGTATGTTCTCTGGATAGAAACCTGTTTCATCACGATTGAAGAAACCTGCCTAGGTTCAAATAACGTTGACTTAAATTTTCGGGGCTCCAATATTCTACATTTAAAGATTTCCAAGGTTTTAAGGTTTCAAGGTATCAGGTTTTCAAAGTTTTTAGATTTCAAGGTTGCAATGTTTCAAAGTTTCAAGGTCTCAAAGTTTCAAGGTTTCAAGGTTTTATAATCCTCACAGCGGATCGATGTAGAGTTTGAATGTTTATGTGTTGAAGGTTCTCAAACCCTTTAAGGTGCCAAGGCATAAAGGCTTCTGATAGTTCAAGTTTTCAAAGTTTAGAAAGGTTTCAAAGCGTCAAGGCTTAATAACTTCAAGGTACCGAAACTTCAAGGTCTATAGAAATTCAAGAAATTAATCCTTTCAGGCGTAAGTAACCTTTAGACACCACAAAATTCGCATGTTCCATGGTTTCAAAGAAATGTAGAATTCAATGCCACCAAACTTCAAGGTTCCAATGCTTCACGTCTGTAAGACTTCAATATTTTAAGACCTTAAGGCTTCAAAAATTTAAAACGTTTACGTTTTGGCACTTGGGCCTAAGAATGTATCAATATCATTTTACTTACTAGGCAATAGTGTCTTTAAGAGCCCTTAAAGGGTCTTTATTTATAAGAGTGCTAGAAGTTTAAATTCCATTAACAGCCTTGACGACTTACAAAAGCCCTCCAAAACTTTCTAGAATGTCCTAAAGCCTTTTTAAAGCTCTTATGACCAATTCCAGGGACTTTTAAGTGTTCTTAATAGCCTTATAAATATTGAATGTGCTCAAGGTCTTTAAATTTCAAGGCCTTCAAGATTTCGAATTCGATTTCGATGAGTTCAAAGGAATCCACCCTTCCAGAATTCAAGGTTACAGAATTTCATAACCCTAAGGCTTCAATTCCTCATGGCGTTTTCAGGTTGCAAACGCTCCAAGGTCACTGAACTAGTACTGTAGGCATCCATTCCTCAATGCTTTCAGGATACGTAATGCTCCAAGTTGCGTTTAAGTTTCCAACCCTTGGAGGTTTCCAAGGCTTTGAGTCCTGAAGACTCCAAGGGATAGAAGCTTTAAATCTTAAAGATATGGAAGATTCTAAAGCGTCAAGGCTTAATAACTTCAGTGCTTCAAAGCTTGAAGGTCTGCAGAGCTTTGAGTATTTAATCCTTTAAGGCTTAAATACCTTAACCCCCTTATGATATTGAGCCTTTATAATCTGCAAAGGTACCTCAAAGTGTCTTATAGTTGAAGGGTTTAAAGCTTTAAAAAAATTCATAATTGAATACTACCAAGACTCTAGTGCTTCACGTCTGGAAGATTTCAAGGCTTAAGCCCTTAAGGCTCCAAAATTTTAAACCATTTTGTTTACGCCTTGGAACTTGGGCCTATAAAATCTTAGTCATCGCTTCTTTAGCGGCCCTTAAAGGGCCTTTACCAGTGTTTAAGAAAGGCTAACGGCCGATAAGGGCGTTAAAAGTTTAAATCTATAGTCACTCTAAGGCTTCAAGGCCTTAAATCTTCAAAGCACCAAGTTCGGAGTGTTCAAAAGAATTCCCGCCTCCACGATCCAAGGTTACGACATTTCTTAACTCTAAGGCTTCAATTTTTCATGGCGTCTTCAGGTAGCAAATGTTCTAAGGTCACAATGAACTGGGAGTTTAGGCCATCTACTCCTCAAAGCTTTCAAAATGCAATGCTCCAAATTGGGTTTAAGTTTTAAACGCTTGGAGGATTCTAAGGCTTTGAGGCCTTAAGACCTGAAGACTCCAAGGGATAGAAGCTTTAAATTTTAAAAATGTGAACGATTCTAACGCGTTAAGGCTCAATAACTTTAAGGCTTCAAAGCTTGAAGGTCTGTAGAGCTTTGAGTATTTAACCCTTCAAGGCTTAAATACCTTAGCCTCCTTTAGGATGGTATTGAGCCTTTATAGCTTACAAAGGTACCTCAAAATGTCTCATATTTGAAGGTTTTAAAGCTTTAAAGAAATTCAGAATTAAATACTACCAAGACTGCTCCACGTCTGTAGGACTTCAAGGCTTTAAACCCTTAAGGCTCTAAGAGCTTCTAAAAATCTATAAAGGAATAGAAATCCATTTAACAGTTTTTAAATTTTTTTGAAAATAATCTCTAAGGTCCTTTCCAAGAGCACCCAAGAAACTTCAAAGGATTTCTAGAAGCTTGATGTGAGCCTTGGAGAGAACGGCCTTAGCGGAACCTTGTGTGTTCGTTCCGGGCTTGAGAAAGGCGAATAGGTAACATAACTAAAGGAATAGAACCAATAGTGTCTACCATTGCACCCCAGAGTGATTGCAGGAATAGCAACGGCCCTAATGTAGATCCTTGGGGCACTCCACGTAAATAATCCATATGCAGACCTTACGCGAAGATATATAAATTACAGTCGCCCGCATAAACACAGAAAAGGGCCAAGGCCTTCAAGCAATCAAACCGTTTCCCAAGGTAAGCTTGGGCGATAACAAAAGTGGGTTAGGTCAATTTTGTCTCGGCATTATTCATACAGCTGGACATGTTGCTTGTGGTGGCTCTACTCCTCGCTGCGGACGCATACGGCCGAAGCTCGCGGATTTTGGGCGGTGTCGATTCGCCATTTCGGTGCGGCGGAGCATATCTGCGCTGGGTCGATCATCGGGCGAGAGTGGGTCTTGACCGCGGCCCACTGCGTCGACGGGTGAGTCGTCTTTTTTGCAATTTTAAATAAGATGGGGTCCGTTTTTTTAGATTGGCCCCCGACGCTTTGAAAATTGTGGCCGGTACCACCAAGTTGACTGGCGGAGGTCTTAGCCACCAGGTGACGGAGGTGGTTGTACACGAAAGCTACGACTCCTACTACGTCAAAAACGACGTGGCACTGCTGAAGGTGTCCACAATAGAATTCCACCCCAGGCTTGTCGCTGCCATCTCCTTGGACCATGAGGAGATAGCCGCCGAGGTTCAGTGCGTGCTGAGCGGGTGGGGGATGACGGTCTACCCTGGGCCGGTCAGCGACAATCTACTCTACGTCAACTTAACAACGGCAAAGACGTCATGAGACCGATCGACGTATCCCAAATCTGCGCGTTCAGCAAACCCGGGAACGGTGGGTGCAAGTACGACTCCGGCGGGCCCTTGGTGAGATACATCGCTGGAACGCCGCACCAAATTGGGATAGTCTCATGGATGATACTCTGCGCCAAAGGGTATCCTGACGTATACACCAGAATCTCCCACTACCTACCCTGGATTAAAGAGAAATGTGCGTGTATTGGCTAATTAACAGTGGTCAAAGAGTGACAGGTCATTTAAAAACTTAGTAATAAAGTCGTTGATTTCCGGATTGGAAACTTTCGTGAATACATTCGGTCGTCTAGGAAAACCGCATCCGTAGCCCCACGAGGAAATTCCGCTTAGCCTCCCCCCGACCATGATCGCACCACCCGAGTCGCCGTAGCAGACGTCCTTGCCTCCCTCTTGGTACCCGTAGCACACCATTCGGTCGGTTACGCTCTCCTCCGGGTAATATCTGGCGCAATCATCGTGGTGGATTCGCGGCAAACGCACCACGTTGATCTCATCGGGCATAGGGCCGTTGAACGAGAGCTGCCCCCACCCGGCCACCATCCCCATGCGTCCTACCGCTACGTCTCGACCTCTGACCTGTGCAGGTATCGCCCTAATTTTCCATTTAGGCGAAAATGTTTCGTAAAGTAACAGAACGGAGACGTCATAGTCGCTGGAGTTCGCAGAGTACTTGGGGTGGGAGCAAATTTTCGCCACCTGCAGAACTTGCCCGCCTCTCTTGTGGTACGAGCTACCTCCACGTACCGTAATTATCTCCGGTCTAAAATCTTGGTAAGCGGCGGTTTCCAAAGTTAGCTGGACTTACCGGGTGTTGTAAAGGCAGTGAGCAGCTGTGAGGGCGATTTTGGGCGCGATTAGGGTGGCCCCGCAGTAGTGGGCGTCGAGCTTCCTCAGTGACAGCTGGTAGGGGTGCTTGTCGATCGTCGTGCTTGTTCCACCAACAACTTTCGGTTCAAATCCGAACTGCGAGTGGGCTGTCGAAAGGACATTGTCACTGGTGAGCACTAGTGAGTTGAGTAAATAAAGAGTTTTCCACATCGTGCTCGTACTATGCGCGGTTTCGTGATATAGCAACAGCTCTCTGTCTTTGTTTACTGTTTGAGATAATACGAACCTTGAGTGTACCAAACGTGAACGTACAAAATATTTGCGAATACTAAACCTGTCCGTTATCTTTCAGCCAACACGCTTTGGCAATTCCAAGTAGGTAACCGCATTCAAAAATTGGAAAAAAAACTTCTGTTCTCCTCATACCAACGCAAAATACCTATGGAACGATCCTCTCATTACATTAGTTTAGTACCATGTTCTTCCAATAAGATTGTGTACGTCAAAAACTGCCACGTTTGCATATAACACAGACATAATGCGAAACAGAACTGTTCTCCTGTTACCAGATCGGATACCGTAAAAGATGTTGCAATTGTCTGGGCCATATAAACACAAATATCTTGTGTTCCCCAGGAACCTCCATTGTAACTATCTTAGAAGATGATTAGGTTGCATTCAACGTAGAAACAAAAGTTCTGCTCTCCTGGTACTTTACTTGTGCGTTTTCAATTCGAACCCAACTTTATTGTGTGGGCCTTTCTAGTGCAGCGCGATTTGAGGTCTGGATTAGGTTTATAAAAACACTATCAATCGTAGAAGAAGCAACAACAAAGAAAAAACTCATGGCCTAATATGGAGAAGGAAGGGAAAGAGCATATGCGCGAAAAGGTAAGCGAAAGAGTAGAAAATTGCACAAATTGAGCAATATAACAACAAATGAAGAGTGGAAAAGAATAAGTGATGCAGCAGGTTAGAGAGGAATGCGGTTAGATAAGCAGCAGGGATAAGTGAAGGAAAAGCAAGAAGAGTAGAAAAGGACCAGAAGTGGGACAAGAGAAATAAGAGAAGAAGAGCAGAATTTGAGCGCAGATGTGTGGCAGTAGAGGAATTCCGGAAAAGTAGGAGAGAAAGGGTAGGTATGGAAAGAGCAGACGAAGAGTGAATAAGACAAGATAAGATGAAAGAAACTGTATAAAGGTCGAGCAGAAGCGGCGGCAGAAGAAAGCAAGATGGTAAAATGAAACGCGAATAGGGTAGCAAAAGAAAGAAGGGAAGAACCGGGCAAAAACAGGCAAAAGATTGGCAACGGAAGAATAGGAGTACGCACAGAAATAATTGAACGAAGGTGAAAAAGAAAGGGGGTTAGTAAACAAACCGAAAACGTGTGGAGGAAGCGCAAAAGGGACGTAAAGCTAAAACTACGGAAGAAATGAGATGTTGAAGAAAAGTACAAGGACAGAAATATAGCAACGGAGTAGAAATGGATAAAAAAAGAGAGCAATAATGAGAATGAGCTAGGCACGAGGGAGAACGAAAGAGAAACAAGCTATCGGAGGAAAGACACGAAAAGAAAGGAACAAATATTGAGCTAAATAAAGACAAACGATGGGTGCAAAAAGAGAGGTGCAAGCGGAAGAAAAATGAAAGCAAAACGAGAACAGAAGGAGTAAGTAAATAAAATGAAAAAATGGAAACCATTAAAACGAAAATGAAAGCAGATAAATGATGGAAGGGTGACAGTAAGAATTAAGTGGGAAAAACGTTGGGGCAGATGATGGGCGAAAGACGAGCAGATTAATCGTAAAGGGGGAAGAAAGTAGAAAACAGGCGGAACCCGTGTGAAAGGTATACAAAAGAAGATTAGAATAGGAGACGACTAAGGTATCGGGGATGTAGTGAGGTGAAGAGATGTAAAGAAAGCAGAGACCTAGAAAAAACAGGGTAGGAGAAATACAACATAGCAAACAAAATGCAACGGAGCAAAAATGGAAAGATTTTCAGCACAAAAGCGGATCAGTGGAAGATAGTCAGGGGAAGAGTAGAAAAAGAACCATTCAGAAAGCAGAAAAAGAACGAAAATATGGGAAGAGAAGCAGGATATTGTATAGAAGGAGAACAAAGAACGGTACGGGAACGGCAGAAGAGCAGAGGAGCCAAGAACAAATTGGGGACTGGCTAAAAAGCACAGCAAAAGGGCAAAATAGCCAAAATTCAGCAAAACAAGTACAGGGGAGAACAAAAGAAAAACGGAAGAAAAACAGGCAGAACAAATATGAGATAAGACGCGGTGAAGCAGAGGATTATAGAACGGGGTGAAAAAGAGGGAGAAAGACCCGGGTAAGGGTTGAGGGAAGAAAGACGACAGTGTAAAATCAGAGAGATAGAGGAGCGGAGAACAAGCGGGAGAAAAGGCACAAGAGAAGCAGAGGTGCAAGCGAAAGAGAATAACGGATATATATTGGAGAAGAGCAGACAACCAAGCGAAAAACCAAACACAAGAAGAAAGTAACATAGCAGTTGGATAGAGCAAAAGGGACAATGCACAGAAAAGTGGAAGTATAAGAAAGGAATCGAATAGAAGGCAAGAAAGGGGAAGAATAAGAACAAATGCAATCAAGCCAAAAAAAAAGAAACATAAAGTTGAATGAAAACATGAGATCGTCTCCTGTTTTCAGAAAGAGAGGAGTGAGGTGAAAGACTATCGGAAGAAAAATGAAGAAGAGGGAAGAACAGAGCAGGAGTAAGAAGGACCAAAGGTGTAAGAAAATCGAATGAAGGGAGGGGATAGACTGATGAAGGACCAAACGAGTAAGACCGTGAGGCAAAAGAAGTAGAATAGGGACACGAAGTGAACAAAGAATACAAGAGAAGCACATGAAAAGAGCGGAAAAGCAAGTGAAGACAGATGTGCAAAGGAAATAAGAGCTACAGAGAAGAGAAAGGAGCAGAAAATCAGAAAAAGGGAAAGAAGCCGGGTCAAACGGAATCCAGTATGAATAAAGGAGCAGTGTAAAAATTGAAACAGCAAAAAAGAGGAAACGAGCAGGAGCGGAAGTGCATAAAAGAGAAAGAAAGATAGAGGAGGAGGAATAGAGAAAGAAAACAGCAAAGGACCAGGAAATGTAAAGATCTGAGATTGAAGGAACAAAAAAGTAAACAGCATTCGAGACGAGAGTAAAAGAAAGAGAGTAAAAGTGCCATAGGAATACGAACGGACGAGAAGGCAAGTGGGTACGGAAAGTTACGATACTACAATCGTTTCCGTTACACTGTAGCTGCCTAGGAAAGAAACATATATTTTTTTGGATGTACGGTGTGTTGGAGAACGTATCACCGGGGGGTCTGGGGGTAGGGAATACCCCCCCCCCCCCCCCCCCCAGCCTACAAAGTCATGGGATAAGTTGTAGAAGACAAAACACTGAATTATCCTTTCCTAGGAAGTGTTTTATGAGGGATGGAAGATTCGACGATCTTCTATGAAAGCTATCACGAGACCTTAGAGATGAACGACATGTGGGAAAACTTACTACCGGGAGGTCTGGGGGGTATGGAATACCCCCGATTATACAAAGTCCTGGGATAGTTGTAGGAGAAGGAACATTGAATTTTTATTCCCTAGGAAGCAATGGGGAAACGAAGATTCGATTATCTTCTATGAAAAACTATCACGAGAATGCTTGGAGATGAACGACATGTGGGAAAACTTACTACCGGGAGGTCTGGGGGGTATGGAATACCCCCGATTATACAAAGTCCTGGGATAGTTGTAGGAGAAGGAACATTGAATTTTTATTCCCTAGGAAGCAATGGGGAAACGAAGATTCGATTATCTTCTATGAAAAACTATCACGAGAATGCTTGGAGATGAACGACATGTGGGAAAACTTACTACCGGGAGGTCTGGGGGGTATGGAATACCCCCGATTATACAAAGTCCTGGGATAGTTGTAGGAGAAGGAACATTGAATTTTTATTCCCTAGGAAGCAATGGGGAAACGAAGATTCGATTATCTTCTATGAAAAACTATCACGAGAATGCTTGGAGATGAACGACATGTGGGAAAACTTACTACCGGGGGGTCTGGGGGGTATGGATATATTCATGGAATCCCCCCCCAGTGTACAAAGCCCTGCGATAGTTGTAGGAGAATAAACATTGAACTTTTATTCCCTAGGAAGCAATGGGGATAGGAAGATTCGATTATCTTCTATGAAAAACTATCACACAAGTCCGTAGGGATGAACGTTATAAGGAGAACCGGGTAGTCTCAGGGGGTATGGAAGTCCTGGGATGGTTGTAGGAGTAATGGGAAAGGTTCGATGATGTGCAGAAAATTTAGGTAAATAGATTCTGCTCCTCATCGTGTTTCTGTGAACTAGATTCATTTTTAAAAGAAAATTTTGAATAAACCGAACGTGTCAGGATCACAAAAAATTAGGAAAACACAATGCGCAATAATTGTACAGTAAATAGATTTTGCACCTCCTCCCTGTAAAACGTAAGGTTAACATGTCCTCCTCTAGATTATGTACTTCTGTTCCGATAAGTAACAATCTTATGCAGCTTTAAGCATTTCTCAGCTCCTAATATAAAAATTATTCCAACTTTCTAGAAACTTTTATGCGCTCCTGATACACAATTTCTGAATGAATCATGTCTGTAATTTTTGTTGTTTTATAAGAAAATTGATACCGCATTGTTCACTTTGAGTCTAATATATCCATACACACCTCCTCACGTTGATACGTTGTATACGAGTCATAACTGTGGTTTTCCCGCTTCTAAATGCTCCTGATTAAAAAAACTAGTAACTGTTTTTTTAACTTTAAGCCTACTATGACCCCTTGATTGTGTACTCCTATTAAACTGACCTTTGTGCGCTGATGTGCTCTTCCGATCGTGTATACACTCCTGTTTCGAAGGTAATAATCTATATTCTGACTTTTAGTTCACGGATGTACTCCTGATACAATAATCAATGCCTGAACTAGTCATGTCTGCAGCCTTGTCGCTTTTAAATACTTCGAATGCAAGAAAACTAATTTTCTATTGTTATTGTCGAGTTCGATGTACCTATATCCACCTCCTTTCATTTAATCACTCCTGTTCCCAAGAGCAACAACGTTTCATGTACTCCTGATACAAACATCATGTCCGTAGTCCTCTCGCGTTTATATGCTCTCCTAATTCTCGATTGTTAACTTTGATCCTAATACACACTGTACACCTCCTCTCGTTTATGCACCTCTGTTTCCATAAATAAGCTATCCCTACGCTGATGTACCTACTGATACGAATGTTGACCTTACATGCACTGATGCACTTCTAGTACGATCCATTAAGTTTTAAAGGATGGTATTTGGACGTTTCTCGTTTTTATGCTCTCCTAATACAAAAATTAGTATTCGATTTTTTTTATTTTAGGACGATTTCATACCCCCCCCCCCCCCAGGCTCTCCGGTGCTACGTTCTCCCTCAAAAGGTTCAACTATAAACACTATCCAAGAGTTATGGTCTAAGTGCGAAGCGGTCTAAACGGGAGAGAATGTAGAACCGAAAGGTCTGGGGGGTTTGGGGGTATGGAATAGCTTCCAGGAAAGAAACGCACAATCTTTACGGAAGAATGTGGAGCCGGGGGATCTGAAGGGTTTATGGAATAACTCCTTGGAAAAAAGATTAATTGCTTATTTCCCCCCATGTTCGTATGAAAAGCGCAGGATGAGTGGTGGAAAAGCAGAGAACGAGTAGAAGAGATGGAAGTGCGTAAGGGGGGAATGTGGAGTAAAAGAGCCAAAGTGCAAGAACGAAGAGTGAAGAAGGCGAATAGCAGGGGTGAAGTAAGAGCAGAAGGCTGCAATTTCACGGGTCCAGGATCGACACTGATTTCTCAACCCCATCGCAAACAAAACAATTTTGACAGTTCAAACTTGTTTTTAATTTTTTGTCATTTTACTCATTTTCTCTGCTTTTGCTCCTACCAAAAATGGCGTCCAAGGTCAAAACCGTGTCGCCGGAGAAGAAGTTCGAAATGGACCTACAGGCAGAGGACGCCTTGAAGCGGAGTATGGTTCAGGTAAGTCCTCTTCGAATCGATTTTACCATCAAATCGAGAGTAGTTTAGGAATTTGGTGAGCGAACGCGGTGCGCTCACCTCCGACGCGGAGCTGGCGCGTTGCATGAAGGTGAGCCAGATTTTAACTAGAGAGCACGTTGACGTCCTCCTCGACGTGCTGGTGGCGTGCAGTGCGGGCAAGCTTGAGCAAGACGAGCGGATGAGATCCGAACTGGCCGCCCTCGTCGTGGAGCGCGAGGAGTTTTCGAGGAGAATCATCGAGAGGAAGCACCACTTGCGGGAACTAGACAGTGATATCACGGCGGTGAGCTTGGGAGGCCGCACCAAGGCAGTGATTATCTTACCTTATTTAGAAGCGCAAGTTGATTGATGAAATTTCGACTCGGGTGCCGTCGGATTTGCAAATACTGGAACGCCAGTTGCTTGGGCAAAAAACTCTGGAGGGGCTCGAGAATAAACTTGACACCTACATGAAGCAGTTCGGTTTGATGTCCGCGGATTCCTGTCGCTTACGGCTGGAGATCGAGCACCAGCTCATCGAGAGGGAGAGCTTCAACAAGCTTTGGTACACTTACATTGCCAATTTGAACAAAGGCAAGCGGATCATGATGGACATTGTGGAGCAGGCGACCCTCGCCTACGACCGCAGAGACGAATGGATCGCCAGACTGCAATCGTGCAGAGACTTCGCTTACAACGACTACATCAGGGCGACTCAAGTATCGCCTATCTCAACGCGTCAACTTACCACCTGTTGGTCTTCAGGAGATGGACCACCTGCAGAAGAAGCTCGACAAAGATCGCGACCTCATCGAGTTTGTTGGCGTCAGAGAGCAGTACCGAAACATGAAGCAGCTGCTCGAACTCAAAAGAAAGCGACGGATGGAAAAGCGCGAGGAAATGGAGGAAGATCTCAGGCGCTACGGTGCAATTCTAAACGAAATCCAGGTTACTCACACCTGCGACGGTTCCCGTAACCTCCCGTAGAGTTTTAGCCACATCGAGCCGAAGAAGAACACCGGTAAATTCATCGCCAATTACGGCGCTGTCGAAACGGTAAACCTCGCCAGCTTCGTCTACGTAGAGCAGCTACAAAGTGACATCGAAAACGTCACCGAGGAGATAATGGGATTGCAGGGAGATATCGGTGAGTCGACGCGCTCTAACCTCCAACGGATTTTGCCGTTTCAGTTCGACAGCGGAACCTTCAGGCCGCTCGGGCGGTGCAGCAGAAGACCAAGATCGAAGATCTGAAGAAACAGTTCCGCGCCGCTAAGAAGGAGGTGGCAACCGAACGCGTAGTTATCAGCTGGTGACGATTGCTTTCAGGCCGACTCGGCGGAAAGCGCCTCGAAATCGATGAGGAACAACTTCCAGAAGATCTACAACGGCATCGACAAGCTCTTCAAGATCTGCAAGTGCAACGTCGCGCCTCTAATTGATCTTCTGGGGGAGAACACCAAGATTAACGATTTCAATGTTCTTCTTTACCTCCAGATCTTGGAGAGCGACGTCGTCGATCTACTCGCAAATGCGTACTACAAGCAAAAGACTGCGGTAAGGCTAAATCTTAGCGTGACCGATAACTTACCGACTGTGCCTAGGCGAAAGCTAAGGGAAAAGCTGCGCCATCTGTTATCAGAGAGGAAGCGCTCGTCGCTCCCATGTACCAAGTAAAATCTCTCGTCCCCACGAATCCATGTCCTTTGTAAGCTCGAGACAGGGTGGGTGCTGATCTATAAGAAATATTCATTTCAGGTGCGTCGACTTGGAGATGGTCAGTGACGTAATTGACACTCTCCAGCAGGTTCAGAGTAAAGAGGAGGTGGATTTGAAGTTGAAGCTAAGGTTGAAGTTGCCCGACGGTCTCAACCGATTGCACAACGTATCAGCCTGTCACCTCCCCAAGTCGAGACAGATTATTCAACGACGATACCAGTAGATTAGGATTATTTTGTTTTAGGTTTTTGTACGTTTAATGCCATATTATTTAACATTTTGATGTCTTCTCTCTTAATACCTTTTCCGATTTTAACTGGGCATGTAAACCGTTACACTTCCCCCTTCCTAGAATTTTAAAAGCCACCAAGATTACAATGGCCTGATACGACACACTGTCACTTTTGGATAGTGCTTATAGGTAAACGTTTTGAGGGAGAGCGTAGCACCGTTGGGGGGGGGGGGTCTGAAATACTACACCTACGAACATCTTATGAGTAATGAATCTTTTTTGTCAAGGAGGTATTCCAATACAGCCCCCCCCCCCTCCGCCCTAGATGCCATGGTTCTACAAAGATTTTATCTTTCTTTCCTGGGGAGGGGGGGCGGTCCTACATTCCTTCCTAAGACGTTTAGAGTCCGTTGCCCTTCAATCGTAACCGTGAATGTTTTGAGCGAGGACGTAGCCCCAGTATGCACCTCCTTTATTATCTCTCTTTCTCTGTTGTGCACTTCCTCTACTCGACCCCGCCTTATCACAGGTCATAAAGAGTTAATTGTCTATTTCTCTCCCATTTGCCATTTTCTTCTCTATTTGCTTGCCTTTATTTTTGAATGAGCGGGGTTTCAGCCAAGGCTGCTCTACCAACCCAACCCACTGTACATTTACAAATATCCATTCTTCTGTTTTTCTGCTCCTTTCTCTTCTCTGTAGCTCTTATTTCCTTTGGACATCTGTCTTTTCTTGCTCTTCCGCTCTTTTCATGTGCTCCACTCTACTCTACTGCTAATTTTCATCGCTGCTTCCCCAATGTTCACCTCGTGCTCTCATTCTGCTTCCTTTTCCACGATCTCTTACCCGTTTGGTCTTTTATCAATCTGTTAAACTGATCTTTTCTTGGTTTGCTTTCTTATTCTTCCCTTTTCTCGTCTGTTATTCGATCCCATTTTTAGGCCTCCGCTTTTCTGTACCTAGCCAATTCTTACCTTCTCTCTTTCCTTCTTCTTTTGCCCTATTCTACTTTAAGTTACTTTCTTCTTGTGTTTGGTTTCTCATTTAAGATAAGATAAGATTCTCTTTTACATGCTCCTCTGCTCCTCTTCTGCCCTTCCACCGCACGTTTCCACTTATTCTCCGCTCCTCTATCTCCCGGTTTTTCCCACTCGTCTTTCTTCTCCTAAATCCTTCACCTCGTCTTCCCCTCGACTTTACCGCATCTTCTCTCATACCTCTACTGCTGTCCTACTGTTTTTCTTCTGCTTTACTGTTGCTCCCCCGTATACTTGTTTTGCTTTAGTCTATTTTGCCCTTTTGCTTTGTTTCTTTTTAGCTTTTTACCACACAATCCTCAATTTGTTCTAAGCTCTTTTACTCTTCTGCCGTTCTCCTATCCGTTCTTCGTCCTCCTTCTGCTCCTTTTTCGATATATTTGTTTTTTTCTGCTTTCTTAATGGTCTCTACTCGTTTTCTGCTCTTCTTCTGACTATCCTCCGCTGATCCGCTTCTCTGCACCAAATCTTTCCATTTTTGCTCCGTTGCATTTTGTTTGCTGTGTTATATTTCTCCTACCCTCTTTCTTATTCCTCTGCTCTCTTTATGATCTTTCATCACTTCTCTCTACCTTACCACAGCCCCGATCCCTTAGTCGTCTCCTGTTTCTTTCCACCTTTGAGATTAATCTGCTCTTTTTCTCCCATCGTTCTGTTCTCCTTTGGTTTTCGTCTTTCTTTCGCTTACCTGTTTTTTTTGCTGGTTCTTAAGCGCACCTTTTTTTATGCTCCTCTTCTGTCTGTTGCATTGCCGTTTTCATTTTTGGCTTAATTGTAGCTGTCTTTGTTTCTGTCTTTTCGTGTCTTTCCTCCGATTTCTCTTCCGTTCTCCCTGTGCCTGACCCATTCTCATTTGCTCTCTTCTATTTTTCTTGTGGTTTATCTCTGTTTACTTGTAATTTTCCTATTGTGTTACATTTTCTCGTATCTGCTTTTTTAGCCATTTGTACTCCGTTGCTACACTTCTGCTCTTCTACACTTCTTCAACATCTCATTTTCGCTCGTTTCCTCTTCTTTACAACTTTTACACATCCACTACTGCTCTTCTTCTGCGTCTCTTTCTCCTTATTCATACTGGATTCCGTCTGACTCGTGCTCTTTCCGTTTTTCTGTTTTTCTGCTATTTTCCCTTCTCTGTAGCTCTTATTTCTTTTGCACATCTATCTTCTCTTGCTCTTCCGCACTTTTAATCTACAGTAAAAGTTCCACCTTCTTAATCTTTTGTATTTCCTCTACTCTACTCTTCTACTGCTGGTCCATCGTTCCTCCTCTTCTGGTCCACATGTCTACTGGTAATTTTCATCGCTACTTCTTTTCCCTTGGTCTTTTACTCGTTGGGTCCTTCACCAGTCTGTTAAACTGCCCATTTCTTTTTTGTTGGTTCATTTTCTCTCCATCCCTTTCCTTCATTTGATCTTCTTACACCTTTTGTCCTTCTTGCTCCTGTTCTGTTCTTCCCTATGCTTCGTTTCTCTTCCGCATCTGTTCTTATTCTTATTCGATTCCTTCTTACGCTTCCGCTTTTTTTCTGTGCCTTTCCAATTCTTATTTTCCCTCTCGCGCTCATCCTTTGCTCTGTCCTACTGCTATGTTACCTTCTTCCTGTGTTTGGTTTGGTTGTCTTCTTTCTTCAATATGTATCTCATATTCTTCTTCTCTTGCACCTCCGCTCCTTTTCTGCCTTTCCTCCGCACGTTTCCACTCCGCCCCTCTCCCAGTTTTTCCACTGTCGTCTTTCTTCCCCCAACTTCTACTCGGTTCTTTCTCTGTACCCTTCACCCTGTCCTCTCCTCTACTTCGCCTCATGTTCTTTCATATTTTTTCTGGTGTCCCACTGTTTTTCTTCTGTTTCACTTTTGCCCCATCGTATATTTTTCTGTTTTTTTTAACTCTTGAACATGCACCAGGCGACCATCAAATTTCGTTGTCTCAACAACCCCCCCCCCCCCCCGCGCCCATGAATAATTTTCTGAGATGCTGTTTTTGAATGTAAAACGTGCAAAACTTTTACATGCGACGACCAACTGGTCTTCGATTTAACGCGCATGCGCATGCCTTTTGTGGTGTGGTGCCAAGTAAATTTTTGAAAATCGAGGGGGGTGGGGGGTAAATACACGTTCTACTCTTCATAGTAATCTAATGAAAGACCTTACGAAAATGAATTGGTTTGTACAAACTATAAATTTCATGCGCGACTCCTTGCCGAGATCAGTAGGTGACCGTGGGGAGGGGGGCGGGGGTAGAAATTAATTTTATCTTTCATGCTATTCCAATTAATGCTACCGACACTAAAACCGCCTAGTGTGTCAAAAGGACGTCGGCGCCGAAGGTACATCCTCCATATTGTATTCTTTCTAATACGATAGGGCTGCGCCGCCTCAGCTCTCCCTGTTGCTACCGATCCAAGCTAATGCTTCGCCCTGCTACAACGGCGAAGCTACCGAAACTGGAGCATTATATCGGATTGATCGTAACAGAGTGAAGCAGCCCTCGAAACTGTCCCCTATTGTATTAAAAGGAAGAATATGGCGGATACGCTTCGGCGTCGGTGTCCTTTCAATACACTAGGGGATATAGCTTCGGATATTGTTGAACGCCTTGCTTTGCTTTATTCGCACTCATTGATAGAACTAATACTCGCATAAGAATCTTTTTTTCCTTCCCCAATTTGGAATGTATACTTTGTTACCTTTTAAGAGTGGCATAGGTTTGCGATATGGCATTTCGTTTTTTACCGCCCGCACGTTAGTAAGGGAGGTATTGCATTGGGGTAAAAAATGAACCCCCCTACTTTTTTTACGGAAATACACGTTTTGAAGCACCAGGAATCCGAATCAGACAAACTCTGGATGACGTCGGTCCGTCTGTACTCTCCTGGCTAAGCGGCTGAACCGATTCGAACCAAATTTGGGGCACATGTTCTTAGACATAAAAGGGGGTGGTATCTGTGCCAGTCACTGCAAATTTAAAATAAGACTCTTAACGCCCATAAACACCCCCCCCCTCCCCCCAATATTAAAGGGACTGAAGAATTTCAAAAATTTAAGACCGTTCGTGACTTCTCGCTTAAAGCTTCTTCAAGGTCTTTGGAACCACTAGGAGGCTCTTCTGATTTTTCTTAAAGATGCAACAGACATTGGAAGATTCTTGGAAGCGCTTAGGATCCGTTGGAGTGTCTTAAAGGCTTCTAACGAAACTCTTGAAGACCTTTAAAGGTCATCAAACATAAAAAAATGCAGAAAGCCTAAGGAGTCGAAATAGTTGGGTATTTTTAAACCCTCCAAAAGTACCCAACAACTTAAAAATAAGACTTAGAGGTGCACCCGAATAGCACACAAATCGCTGAAGAATTTAAAACGGATAGGAGGCCGTCAACGGGCCTTAGAGCATTATTGAACCTTATAGACTCACAAAAGATTTTGAACGCTCGTTAAGAACCTCTAGTGAACGTATTTAGGGGCCCTTAAAGGTTAATAAGACTCCACTCTTAAAAGGAGGGAAGAATTTCTGGGCATCAACAGAAAGACCAAGGTTTTAAAGACTTCTAGGACCTTAGAGATCTCAAACACTTTTAAAGCCTTGCAGAGCCTCGATGCTCCTGGAAGCCGTCGAGCCTGTAGGTAAGTAGGCACAGAAAGCCGTTAAGGTTGCTAGGAGTCCTTCTCTTGACATTCTATAAAACTTACAACATCTACATAAAGTCCTCCTAGTTCCTCTAATCCACATTTTGAGCTGTGGTTTTTTCGAAGTCAGTTGATTCTTTTCGAAGACTGCTCAAAAAATGAGTTTTTCTCCGTTTTCTTAAAGCTCTTAAGAAATTTGGGTGAATTTTCTGTAACCCTCCAAATGTTAATCTTGAAACTTTGCAATCTTTTTTAATTATTTTCGGCTCGAAGTCTTCCGGGAATCCTCGACATCTCCAAATCGTCTAGAAATTCTCTTGAAAGCCCATGGAAATGTTACCGAAGTGTTGAGATCTTGAAATTTTTCCAAGATCTTCTCAAAGTCAACCCAAAATCTTGATATACTCTTCAAGTATTCGCCATTTTCTCGAAATCACGTTGATGTTCTTGATCTCAATCTTGATATCTTCTGGAAGTCTTCATGTCCCAGAAATCATTTCGTAGTAGTGATACCATTTCTACGGCCTTGAAATCCCAAAGTCTTCTCTAGATCAGCTTAAAACCAAAGTCACAATATCTTTTAAAACACTGTTCATATCATCACCTTACATTAGAATTAACAATATTCGCCTTGACCTCGACATATTGACAAGAGCTGGATTATTTGAACACTTTCTAAAACGTCAATGTATTGGTTTCCCGCGATAAAGTTATTAGTCAACATCACAAACACCGCCAGATAAGTTTAGAATTGCTAGACTTTAAAAATGTTTATGAATTGTGCGAGATGTATCTTTTACCGGACGCCTTTTCGCCTAAAGCGCGCCACAAGGATACTGCAGCAAATAGCCTACGCGGATAAGCAGAGGTGAGCGTTTTTTGAATTTGTTTTTTGTTCCTAAATTCTTCGCCATAATCACGTTTCAAAAACAATTTGCTGAAGGGTACTAGCTGAGGACCAAAGGTAACTTCTGTTAGATGGGGAATAGAAATTTGGATTATTAATGACGGCGAGGAAACCCTTAAACTACCATCCACCTTGACTGTGCCGCAGAAGATTATTGGCCAACTATAAAAAGATAAGATAACCTTATAATACACGACGCCACTGGAATTGCCAAAGAACCAAAGATTAGTCGCAAAATGTGTTAATGTAACATTTTCTTGCGTACATTGGGTTTGCGTGTTTTTTTAATCTATTGTGACCAAAACACTGTTTTTTTACTAAATTATTACGCACGCCGTCAAAAATCCGATAAGTTTTAATCGTGTAATATATGATTAAACGTAATTTACAAACACCAAAATTGGACCCAACTCACCCTCTAATCTGGGAGATAAGATCGTCGTATCTTTCTGCTCACCAGAATCATTGTTTAAAGTAAAAATGCTCAAAAGTAGCTAGCTCAAATAGACTTAAAAGCCACTCCACTCATTTCCCATTTGTGAAAAATAACATTCCGAAGTCTACATAAAGTACATGAAATACTTTGTTAATTCGCGGTACATTCTGCAGTTCAGAAGGTATCTGAAGGTTCTGGATACGGTAACCTTCGAGATAAATGCCGCTAAGTAATTTTAGCACTCGAGCGCGGACGAAACAGTTAGCGACATTCAAAAAAGGCATTCATACACAAAGAAGTGAAATCACTAATCAAACTAAATGAGTTTAAATGTATCTCCAGCGGCGTCTGTAGATACGCCCACGGTACTTGTTTGAAATTTTGAAATCGGGCAGCTCAGAATGGACGAAAATACCATAGAAAATCAAAAAAATAAATTGGTTAAAATTGATCCATTCCTCAAGCCTCCCTTCACAAGCAATTACTTCAGCTAGCCCTAATCATCAAGTTTTTTTAAAGCTCAAAGTCGAATAATTACAAAAAATCGATATGAGGGTGCTATCTTTATTAAAGAATCCGAATCTTCTGGCGTGTATTTCTTATTTACATATTTTTAAGATGGTTGCCCTTAGAAATCAAAGTGGTTAAATTAAGCGTAAAAGATATATTTTTGAAGACGGGCCCTTAAAATGGCCACTGATTGGTATCATCATATCGTATCATATCATATTTAATATTTGTCACGAAATACATTCCATATACTTGTATAAGAACAGAACGTACGTAACAATGTGTCAATTTTACATAAATTATAATGTTAAGAGCATACAATGAACAATAAACAAATCATCTTTCGAGATATTCGCTCAAGTGGTAATATGACTGCTCCATCAAAAAGTTTTTGAGCGTTATTCTAAATTTCGAAAAGGAAGTCATTTCTTTAATATTGCTCGGTAAGGCATTGAAAATTTGGCACGCTCGGAATAACAAATTCTTTTGAAAGAGTGTGGTACATAATTTATTGAAAATTGGTTTGTTTTTCGATTACTTTCTTAACACGGGGCTCGCGCATTTTCCCTTTGCGATCTTTCCATCAAGCATGGATTTGTTTGACTTTGACGTTTCCACCATATTGATTTTAACCGGGAAAAACCAAGCCTTTATCGTGGTTAGATTGGACATAACCAAATTCGATGCGTTCTGATACAAATTGTAACGGGAGAATTTTTTATGTGGGTAAAATTGAATATGTACCGTACTGTTTTATTACGCGGCAAGGTACATAGCGAAGCGCAAAGAGAAAGAAGACGGGCAGCGTACGGAAAAGCTTACATTTCGTCCACGTGATTTTAAAGAATGCAAGAGCAAGAGCAAAATTGGCTTAAAATGTAAATAATTGACGGTTAATCAGTGATGGAAACTCTTGGAGCTCGTGAAGGAATGCGGCTTGACGTTTATGAAATTTCACGCGATTGCAAAAATTACGCTATCCACCGGCAGACAAAAATAGCAGAATAGATAGTTGCTTTCAGAAAGTGTGTTAGTAGGATCAAAGGAATTCCCAGTGTATATTTTTCTGACACCGATTGTTATTTTAATGGTTGTGTATCAGGATTACAGAACCGCACGGAAGTGTGCAATTACCTCCTAGCATGGCATTTTCTACTAATTTCCTATTTGAAGCCGTTGTATAATGGAATAGCACCTCACGCATCATATTCTCCTGATACCAATTGTTATTATAGTGCGTCCCCTTATAAATCCAAGGTTCTTGTATGAGACTTACGCCTGTCTGCTTTACTGCATGTTGACGACCTATTAAACAGCTCGCCCTCTGCTGTGATGGATCAGTAGTAATCCCGGCGTTCCTTGGGGGTCACTAGCGAGAGATTGAGCCCTCTCCCTTACCTAGCGCAACCGGAGTACTCGCCTGGTGGCCGTGTCATCCGGGAGCCCGCAGCTATCACCATCGTTACCCTAGGGACGCGCCTCTGAACTTTCAGAGACGCGGTCCTTTTCGACAAGTACAAGGTCTACTGGTCTTCACGCTCGGTCACAATGGTACCCTGCGGATTCCAGCCGTGAGTCCTCTTCTTCTTGCGAATAGGAGCTGGTCCACCACCGGGACCTTCGAAAAGGCCCTGCGTAGGAGCCGTCCCCTCTTTCGAGGAGCATGTTTTGTTTGATATCTTCCATACAATTCCCAGGAGTAGTGCGAAAATGAGGTCTCACCTGGGGAGAGCCGTTTGTATGGAGCACATAAACGCCATAAGATTAATTGTTTCGCCAAATGCCGTCTATCGTAATTACAAGGCGTCTCGTTGTATTTCTGTCACCATGATAGTGTAATCTTTAAAACACGCGAGGCAAACGTGCAGACTAACTGATTTTACATATTGTGTTGCTTGACGTTGCACTTTTAACACAAAAATTTGGATCAGGGGAACATAATGTGTGAGAAGGTGTACGCCAACAACTTTGACATCTTTTTGATTTGCTGTGGACCTGTTACGGCAATTCTCCTGCATCAAAAGAACGCAATACGAGAGAAGGTGCTAGATTCAAGTGGTACCAGGACAACATATATTGTGACAAAGTGCCTCCATACATTTCATACGGCCTTGAATTACATTACATTACAATTTTTAATGGAGGGTAACAGTTTACTTTTTCATGCATGTCTGTAATTATGTTTGGTCACTGCATTAATTGTTTGATATTCTCTGGCACTGTAATTGCGTTTAGTGGCTTCAAGGTCCATTCTTTGCTTTTTAATTTCCTCTTCCTGCATTCTGGTATAAGTACGCTTTAGTTAAACACGTTAAACAGAGTGTAGGGTGACCTATGAAGTTCTAATTGCAATTTCCAATTTTAATTATTCTGGCGATTGAACCTATATTTTGTGGATTTTTGGACGGAATTCTTTGTTTTTCTACGGATTTTGGGAGGCTATACTTTGCGTATCACTACTTACGTGAGTATGGGCATTTTGTCAGACTCGCCCGGTTAATTTGTGCATCCTGCTGTCATTTCTGTGATCTACATCTAACCACAGAAATGGACAGAGGGCGGAACTAAGGAGCAGTTTATTGATAGATCCCATCTAACGTGTCCTGTACTCCTAATACCACGTGTTTTCTCTCCAAGAATCTTGTTTCTTCAGGTTACAGAAGCGCCTATAATTAATGTATTTATTATCTACGTATGACTGACTTCTTATGTTCCTCTATCAAAAAATGGTTGTATCCGGACCTAATGGGTCTCCATCACTATTTATTACGAATCTCTAAACGTTTATGGCAATATAATCCATTCTCACTGTTAACTTGCTGTACATAAAAGTATGTGTGTTTCAGAATATTCTGCACTACGCTCATAACGGCAGCATCCACAAAGTCCAACGCCTACGCACCCGAAAAAGCCTTGGACTTCGAGCAAACCTTTGCAGCGTTAGTTAAAATGTTACGGAACGAGTGCGAGGAGTGTCCCGAAGTTGGCGAACGTCTCTCCAAATCGCTGGAGTACAACGTGCCGCACGGGAAGAAGCTCTTCGCGGCCGTCACCGTCGCGCTCTACAAGCAGATCGAGGATCCCGATCGGTTGACCGACGAAAACGTGTTCCTGGCGAACATATTGGGCTGGTGCATGCAGATGGTGATGATACTGGCCCTTGTTTTGCACCGCGATAGCAATTTGTGGCGGTTTCAGGTACACACTTCCTCTCTGATTTATGACGATCTTGAGGATTCTTCGGAAACGAGACACGGGGCGCTTTGCTGGTACCTGCTGGAGGACGTGGGGATACGCGCCGTAAACGATGCACGTCTGGTGTTGAGCTGCGTTTACGCGATCCTTAGAAGATACTTCCGAGGGTCCCATTGCTATGTGCCCATAATGGAGTTGCTGCAGGACAGCGTTTCGAGGGTGACAATGGGGCAGGCACTTGACCTCGCGTTGAAGAGTGGGGCAGTTGAGCTGGATTCGTTCGATATGAAGATGTACGACACGCTGGTTGAGTACAAGACCGCATGCCTATTCCGCGTCCCGGTTATGCACGCGATGTATTTACGCGGCGGTTACGAGCCGGAGGTCTACAAGCAGGTGGGTGACATCTTCTTTGAAATCGGCAAGTACTACCAAGTGCAAGTGAGTATCCACGCCAACCTTATATGTACTTATTGCCTGGGTTCTAGAACGACTACCTGGATTGCTTCGGACACCCAGACGTGACTGGTAACAAAGGAACGGATATTGAAACCGGCGCGTGTTCGTGGTTGATAGTGCAGGCGGTTCAGCGTGCTACAGAGGTGGAAAGGGAACTGCTGAGAAAGAGCTACGGCCGACCGAACAAAGAGAGCGTAATGGCCGTCCGTTGCATTTACGAGGAGCTGGGTCTACGTCGCGCCTACGACGTCTACGAGAAGGAGACCTACAGTTTACTTCGCGGCGAGATCGGGAAAGTTTCCGATAACGCCCTTCGGCAGTTTCTCTGCGCTGTACTGGAGAGCATCCACGGGCGAAACTCTTAGAAGATATTCATGTACCTAAGTTATTGTGTTGTGTTGCTGCTGTCCCACTACAAGATGAACTTGAACTTAAATGTTTACTAAACATGAAGATTAAAGTAATCAATCTACGTTTCTGTTTAGATTGACGCATCTGGTGTTGCGATAACAGTCGGATTATGTCAGCATTGCAACACAAACACTGATATCGCCATGAGGAGATGGCGTTAAGGTTAAAGTTGGACGACCCCACAATAATACGTTTCAAGAAGACTCACAAAGCACACCCAAACAATATTCGAGAAGGTGGTGCAGTGCACGGAGTAAGATTTCTAGGAGACTCCGAGCAGGCTTCGAAAAGATGTCGAAGAAACTCCAAGTTGATCTCGAGAAGATCTCAAAATGACTTTGATTAGTGTGAATTTTACTGTCTGTGCTCCTGATATACCATCTTTTAGGCATAATTTATATTTTTTTACGTTTCTGTGATCCTAATAAAATGCTATAGAAACAGCAGAGGAGAAGGTATTTTACAATCATTTCTACATCGTCTTCCATTCCTATAATCCTGATAAAACTTGGAACCAGGAAAACATAACACCAAAGAATGTCGCAACTTTTTTTCCATTTTTGTAAGCCTGACATTTTTTAAAGTGGCGGCAACATAATATTCGAGAACGTGCCAGCATTCTGAGTTACTGTTGTATCAAAATTTTGGCAAAGAAATTTGTATCAAGAGATCATAAGGAACGAAAAGGTATCTTACAATCAGTATCACAGATTCTGTCTATGATACTTATAAAATGTTTAAGGAGAAAGTTGTATCAGGAGAAGAATGTCTGACAACCTGCATTTGTCAGAATTTTTTTACAAAATGTTGTATCAGGGTTGCATAGAAGATGAAAAACAGTTTTACACCACCTCTTGCGCTACTGTGTTTCTGATACAGTTGTAAAAAGAATGAATCATATTAGAAGACCATCAAACGCGAAAAGGTCACTCCTGATCATTAATGTTTATTAAAGACATTTCTATCAGGATAACATTACTTAGGAAATAATGTCCGATAGTCTCATTCTTAAGTTTTTTGATTCAACTTTGGAAGAAAAAAATTGCACCACGAGAACGAGTATGTGATTATATCATTTTTGTGCTCCACGTGTGCCTAATTGGCTGTAATTAGAGCATTAAGTACAACGGGAAATAGGTATACCGCAGAATTTGGTTGTCTACGTTGTAAAGTCCTTCAGATTTCGAAATAAGGCCGCCTAGAAATAAGCTGGCATACGTCCGTTAAAAGGAATCTTCTAAGCGATTCGAACAACCCGAAGTCGGCGCTTTTGCAACTGAAATTTGTATCAGGGTACCATGACTTACGAGGAGGTGTCTAAGAGCTAATGTGTCACGTTCCTGTGTTTTTAAAGAAAAATTGTGTCTATGTACCATTCTGTGTTCCTGATCTATCAACTTTGGTACTGGAACTTGTATCAGGATGACATGACAGACGAAGAGATCAGTACCACAAATTCTTTTGTGACCCACCCAAAATTTTTCAAGATAAATCAGTAGAGCGTAATAGGGATGTATTAGAAAATGCTGCACTTTGCACTTATGCATTCCTGATACATAAATTAAGTACATAATTAGGTATCTCACAACCACTTCTTACATACCATACGGACATTGTTTTTAAAAGTATGTGTCAGGGGGCCATAATACACGAAAATGTCTCCTTTAATTGCGTTTTGCAATACTGATGAGAAAAGAAATTGCATCAGGAGATTATTTGGGATACGTCAGTTCTTGTAAAAATTTCCGTCAGTATCACATAAAAGACTATGATGACTTTGGCAATCACTTCCTGCGCCTCTGTTATTTTAAATGGTTTTTGAAAGACAATATTGTATCAGGAGACAATAATAGTGAGAATTTGATAGTTAATACTGTACCATACGTAGGTATCTTTGGGCTCTTGTTAAGAAAATGTATATCAGAAATAACAGTACTTACCCAATCACGTTGTCGTATTTTTGTGACCCTAATACAATTTTTGAAAGAGACACTTTTACCAGGAGAATATAATGTGTTTTAAATTTTATTTAATGGCCAATGTTATACATCCCCTCGCTTCTGTAATCCTAATGAATTGTTTATTAAATAAAAAATTGTATCTGGACAGCACAACATCGGAGTATGAGATCATAAATTTTACACCGCGCATTTGTGTTCCTGATTTTCTTTTGTAAAGATTAATTGATACCTTACAGTTAAATTCTGACATTTCTACGATAAAATTTATAAACAAAAAATTCTCCTGTATTAGGAGAACATAACACGTAAGCAAGTGTCAGCAAGTACCTGGTGTTTGTGTTTTTTATGATTTACATGTTCTAAAGATTTTTGTATCAGGGTAGTATATAGGACGAGAATGTGTCAGGGAACCATGATATGTGAAAATGTCTCATTCAATTATACTCCTGATACATCAATTTTTGAAAAAAAAATGTATGTCCAGGATAACACTGATTACCAAATAGGGTGTGACAGCGAGTATTTCACTTCTTTACGTTGTTGTGATCCTGATACAACTTTTCAAGCAGAGAACTGTATCAAAAGAACGTAACATCCAAGAATGTGTCAGTAAGTTCCGTGCCTTGCATTTGTGAATTTCTGATGCCTCAATTTTCTCATAGAGTTTATAATTAGGGCAGCATAAAAGACAAGGATTATTTAACCTCCTTGTGACAACCACTCCCTGCGTCTCTGTGATTTTGCTGAAGGAGAAAATTGTATTAGGATATCATAATACCCGAGACAATGTCAGTTAATACTATACCACCTATCTTTGTACTGTTGATACGTCAATCAGGATAACATGCCATTATCATAAACTCTGGTGTTAATATCAGAAGAACATAATGCGTAAGAAGTAAGCAACTTCTATACCTTGCACCAGTCTGACAATCTGCGAAATAAGTTTGATTTTTAAAAAAATCCAGAATGCTCGGAATGTTTCTTTGTGCTCCTGACACTTATTACTTTTGGGCGCCTAATGTTTCACCACGCATTTTTGCGATCCTGTTACAACTTTTGAAAAATAAAATTATCCAAAAGAATATAACAGGTGAGAATGTGTGACTAGATTATACATCTCACATTTCTGTCGTCCGAATACGTCTTTCTTTTTCAGCTTATATCTAGTAGTCAATGTTAGACCTTCTGCGCCCCTGATGAATAGGTACTTTAAATAAGAAAAGGTGTATCTTGGTAACGTAATGCTCCTGAATGGGCCAGCTCCTGATCTATAACAAATTTGGACCAGGATGATATAACAGACGAAAGAACATCTTGCAATCAGTATCAATTGTCTCAAGAATTTTATATTAGGGTAGCATGAAATGTATCTGCGAACCATTTTTTGCAACCCTGTTATTTTGGTTTTTAAAAGAGACAAAAATGTGTTAGGAGACTAGAATAATGAGAACGTGTCCGTTAATATTGCACCACGCTCCTTTGTGTTCCTGATACACGAATTTTTGTTCAAGATTACGTATGACAGTCAATATTTCACCCTGTTCGCGATCTTGATTCAATTTTTTGAGTAGAGCAATATATCAGGCGAAAATGTGCGACTAAATTTTGCACCAGATACTAAGGCATCTGATACGCAATGTTACACCATGTCTTGTTTCTGTGATCCTGATGCATCAAGCCTAAAGAGCAGAAATTTGTGCCAGGGGAGCAGAAATTTATGCCAGGGAACCATAACTTGCGAAAAAATAATTCTACGTTCTCGTTTTCAAAATTTGTGCCTGGTTTCAATTACAAACGCTTTATATTGTTGGATACGGAAAATGGTTACAAAAATACTAACAAACTTGTAGAGGTGCAGGGTGTGTTGCCTATACTGCAGTAACTGATGGCGATATATTTGGTTGCTGCTTGCAGTCAAGACTGTACATTATGTGGTAGTAAAGTGATTACAAATGCTTCTCATCTTTCGTCTGAATGGCCCTCCTCTTCTTGGCGAACTACAAAAGAGCGTCACTCCAGACGAAAAAAATCGTTAGAACCTACCAGACTCTTTTCCTTTAGATACATGTTGGCTGTTAGCTCGCCCACCTTCTTCTCCAAGACCCCCAAGTACAGCATGACATTATCTTGATTAATCGCAGCGTCCTCCCCTAAAAGTTTACGCAAACTTTACAGCGTTCTCGCGCCCTTTGCGATTACCTAACAGCTGCAGAATGGGCGCGTAGTCGCATTCGATCAGTTGAAACAGCCCATCGATACCTTTGAGGATGCTTTCCAAGTCAGCCTCAGCTTCCTCCATTTCCTTACGGGCGCGCTCCGTTTGCATAGTTGCCGCCTCCAAGTCTTCCGTTAACGTCTGGACAGTTTTCTGCTGCTGGTCCGCCTTCAAGTCGTTGATCTCCTTCTGGTCCTCTGAAAATTCAATCAGGCGATAATTGCTGACGGATTTCTTACCGATATTTGTGCGCAGCTTCTCGGTCTCCTCCAGGATCACCTCGATCTCGTGATTGAGCTCGTTGACGTAGTTGAACAGTGCGAAGTTCTCCTCCTCCTGCTTGAAGTACTGGGACGCAAGCCTCGAAACGTCCTCCTCTCCCACGAGTTCGCGAATTTCGACCAGCATCTTCTGGTACCTCTCCTGCTGCTTGATAACCTCCTCCTTTTGCAGCTCGACTTTCTTCATCTCCTTCTCCTCCAAATCCCTCATTATTCTCTTCTGCCCTTTGATTCCGAGGAACTCGTAGAGCTTGCTGTCGTGATCCAGCTGCCGTTGAAGCTCCTTCATTTCCTCGGCGTGCAGCATGAAATCGTTCCGATTGCGTATCCTTAACGCGTGCAGCTTAGAACACCACTCCTCTCTTTGGTCGTAGGAGAGGGTGGCCTGCTCGATGAGGTCTAGCATTAGTTTCTTCCCTTGGTTCAGGTCCTCCACAAGCGTCTCCCACACGGAATTAAAGTGCGCCCTGAAAATGCGCAATGAGTTTGCTTTTGGACGGGTGGTCCTTACCGGTCTTTGAGGAGGTGCTCGATTCGCTCCCGCAAATCGCGATTATCCTCCAGGACCGCGCAAAAACGCTTCGTTTCGTAATCAAGCTGATTTTCCAAGGCCTGCGCTGCCCTTTGGGCTCCTCGGACTTTGTCCTCGAATTGTCGATCGGGTATGTCCTTGCCGCGGACTTGATCAACGCGCCTCTCCAGCTGGAAGAGGGCTTTGGGGATAAAACCGAAATGGATTTCACTCACCTTCCTGATCTCCCTGCTGACATCTTGCAGGCGAGATTTCTCTCGCGCGATCAGCCTCGTGTAGTTCTCGTGCTCGTCCAGGAGTCGATTCACCTTCGCCGTCATTTTTCGATCCTTTCTCTTGTTGGAGTCGCTCGCGGCCGCCTTCAGGTCGGTCAGCAGTTCGGCCTGCTCCTTTTTTAGGGCAGCAATCACCTTCCGCTGCTTGGCCAGTTTGGTGTTGGTTTCTTCGGAGAACGCCTTGCGATCGCATTCCATAATTCGGTACTGCGGAGGTTGAGGTTACGACAGCGGGACGAGGCGAGAAACATTTACCTGTCGCTGCAACTTCCCAAGCTCAGCTTCTGCCATTAGATCCATCTCAATTTTTTCTTGGGCTGTCAAGGGTTTTTTATCGCGGTCCATTTCGCTTCCCGTTTACAGACGAAATCAGATTAATTTACGTTGGGTGGATGGTCGCCAGGGCAACTCAACAACTTCATTTCGCCCCAATTATAAATTGTTTACCATTCTATTGATTCAACAGGCTTTTGTTAAAAAGGGGGTTAAAGCGCTTTAAAAACGCACCCTTCATAGCCGGCACGTGTGGAATTTTCTCTCAACTATTTTCACGGAAAGAGATTTAAACCCTTCAAAAAATATGACTCAAGAGGACCAGGGGGTTACCCCCAAACACGAAACACTATGATTTTGTCATGAATTATAATGGAAAGCTCTAGGGGTTTTAAACGCTTTGGAGAGGAGTGTAGCACCGGAGGACTGGGCGAGGGGATAGAGCGCCCCTCATAAGAATTAGTTTATAACATTCCCCTGTGCATTTTTATGAAAAGCGCTGGGGTTCCAAACGTTTTGGAGAGGAACGCAACACTGATGTCCCTGGGGAGGGTATGGAGGACTCCTCATGAAAGAGGAGCATGAGTGCAAAACAGTCAGTGAACCAGTTTTCATTTAAAAAACTGAGGTCTATACTCCTGGGAAAGAACCGTAGCATCAGCCTGGGTTGGGTTGACCCCCCCCCCCCCCAGAATTCCATGATTTTTTTTCTTAACTATTCTCATGCTAAGCGCTGATGGTTCTAGAGTCTAGACACTTCGAAGAACGTAACACCTGGAGACCTGGGGGTTAGCCCCGACAAAAACATGATTTTGTCATGAACTTTAATGAAAAAGGCTGGGGTTTTAAACGCGTCGGAAAGGATTGTAGAAACAGAGGCCTGGAGGAGGAGATAGAATACCCTTTGTATGTATTTTATAATATTCTCTCATGGGTTTTGGTGAAAAGAATTGGGGTTGTAAAGGCTGTCAAGAGGAACACAGCGCCGGTAAGCCTGGGGGAGGGCATGGAGTACTCCTCCTGCAAAATATGTTATAATATTCTCTCATGGATTTTTACGAAAAGCGTTTGGGAGTATAGAATACTACCCGGGATATTTTAATACTCCGTCATGGATCCTTATGAAGCGTTAACCCCCCCCCCCCTCACTCTCCTATCCCCGAAAAAAGCGTTTTATGGCTCAACCCTGTGGAAAGGAGTGTTGCACCCGTGACCTAGGGGAAGGATTATATATATATATTTTTATTTAGTCCATAACCTTTGATTGAGGGGTCTGATCGAAAAACTACGAATCGTTTTGGATTCTACGCACCAAAATTAGTGAGAAAAAGTGTTTTCCCGAGAAATTTTGGAGCAGTCGATTTTTGGTAAAAAAGGAAGGTGCCTTTTTTTGAGGCCGGAAAAAAATTGTCTGAGATCGACCGGGAAAAAACATTTTCTTATAGAGTTTGGCCTGTAGAATCCATAATTTCAAACAGTTCCAAGATCGAGCTACTAGATCAAAAGTTACAGCCCCTTGAATTTTTTGCCGAAATTGGTTTTTTGCCCATAACTTTTGATTGAGACGTCTAATCGAAAAAGTACGAATCGTTGGTGCGATAACTAATTTCTTATTGCAACGACCGGATTGAAGTGAGATAACTCTAACAAATGTCACTAATCTTTCTAAATGAACAATCGAATAAATTAAAATAAAAACTATGCGATTATTTAAACAAAATTGAGCAACAATTTATTCTTTAACAAAATCACATCAAATTCAAACACCATGAAATTGTGTTCAGTCCCAAATTATTATAAAGTTGAAACTTAAACATACAGAGTGTTGGTAACAAATAAAACGCCCGCAAGTCAGCAAAATAAGCCCCATTCCGTTAGCAAGCCTTCATGTAATTACCATTATTTGATCAATTCAGTATCAGTCAACAGATGTTGCAATATATTGCTCTTATGTAACCCTTACGCATATTTTATGAAACAAAACTGCAATCAGGAGCCCAGAAAGACGTTTTGATCTGTAGATTTTGCACCTGATCGGATGTTTATGATTCCCATACGTTTCTTAAGTTTGGCAGGAGCACATGGTAAGTCAGAAGGTATCGTGTTTTGCAAGTTTCTGTCATCCTAATGCTTCTTTGTGGCTTTATGACAACGAAACCTTTAAAAAACTTTTGAATCTAGAGGACACAAAAACGTAGGATTTTGCACCTCCCCGGACGGTTATATGAAAAAGAAATTGATATCAGGAGCACATCATTAGTAAACTCGTTAGAAATTCACTTGCCTTTTACTTCTTTGGGATTCTATGATTCACACATTGTGGTAGTGGATCAGGATAACAGAACTTTGAAAAGGTTGGATATTCTAGGATGAGGAAGTATGATTCCGTGATCCTATAGCATTCATTAAGTAACAAATTTCTAACAGGAGCTCATAATACGAACGTTATCGTGATTTTGTTGTCCTGATATCACATCGTACGTAAGCTGTAGTCCTATAAATTTTGTACATCCTCGGGTTTATGAAATCCTTACACTTTTTTAAAGCTTGAATTGTGTCAGAAGGACATCGTTCTCTGTCTCTAGTCTATTTCAGTAGGCTGTTAATCTTTTCTCGTACCAAACATCTTAACATTTAAGAAATGAATTTGTATCAGGAGAGCACATTACTTCCTTACGTCTTTGTGATCCTCACACGATATTTAGAAAATGGGTACACATAAAAAACAAGATACGTTAGAATGTAACAGGAAACAAGAAGCCATTCGGCGTTTCTGAGCCTATGGCACACCATTTTTAAAAGATAAGTTTGGTCTATATAACAACGTCTGTCAACCTTGGGCGTATGTACTTGACATATTTTATGAGAGAAAATTGCTAACAGGAGACCATTATATCAAAAGAGGTTGCAGTTTGTATACTTTACACCTGCCCATACGATTTATTGCGCAAACTTGAAGTGTCAGGGACACATGATATGTAAGAAGGTGTCAGGTTTTCTGTTCCTCGAGTTTCTATAACCCTGATATTTTGCAACGAACTTAAAAGTGTGTTAGTGCCACAGAAAATCAAGGATTTCAACATCCTGTTGATACTTGCCGACAAACAATTTGCTCCTGACACTTTTTTAAAATAATCAGGAGAACAGAATATGTAATGTTATCCTGGCACAGATTGAAAAAGTAAACCTTTATCCAAAGAATATAATACCTAAGAAAAGGCGTGTGTTTCTGTCTTTTTTTTGGCCCGAAAAAAAAATTGTCTCAGGTCTACCGGAAAAAAATATTTTCTTATAGAATGTGGCCTGTAGAATCCATAATTTCAAACAGTTCCAAGATCGAGCTACTAGATCAAAAGTTACAGCCTTTTGAATTTTTTGCCCAAATTGGTTTTTTGTCCATAACTTTTGATTGAGACGTCTAATCGAAAATGTACGAATCGTTTTGGATTCTACGCACCAAAATTAATAAGAAAAAGTTTTTTCCCGAGAAATTTTGGTGCAGTCGATTTTTGGTAAAAATTCTGACAAACTACTTCGTAATGAAGCGCTCAGATACCGGGTGTTCAGCAAAGTTGGTCGACTTCACAAATATACGGTGCGGTCATAATTTCGCGAGGCTACATCAAGGGGGAAAACGGAGTGCTTCGCTACAGTTTTTTATGGTTTCTTCCCATGTACTTTCATGAAATGCACTGGCGGTTATAAAGTCTTTGGAGAGGAAGGCAGCACTAGTGGCCTGGGGGAGGTGATAGAGTACTCCTCATAAAACAGTTATGATATTCTCATATGTATTTTTACGAAAAGCGTTGGTAGTATAAAACCCCTCTCCCTTCCCGCAGAAAAGAATTTGTTGAAAAGCGCTGGGGGTTTTAAACTCTTTGGAGAGGACTGAAACCCCGCGGACCTGGGGGAGGGTATTACCACTCATAAACATTTTTTTTTGTAAATATTCTCCCGTGATATTTATGAAAAGGGCTAGGGGTTCTAAACTTTTCGGTGAGAAACGAAGCATCGGTGTGCCTGGGGGAGGGTATGGAGTACTCCTCGTAAAAATAGCTTATAATGTTCCCCCATGGATTTTTATAGAAAGCTTTGGGGTATAGGCCCCCCCCCCCCGCACCATGATTTTTCCAATGAATTTTTGTGAAAACCGCTGGGTGCATCTGATGAGGGGGAACTGCGCGTATGGAGTAGCCTCGAGAAAAGGAAGAGAAATTCCGGTGTTTGCAAGGGGTGGAAAGTGTTATTTTGGGATTTGTGGCAAAACTATTAATGTTAGCCAAAAACGTTCAAAGCAAAAGTTATAGGGCATAAAAAGATGAACAACGTTTGTATCTCCACTTTCTGCACATAACCTCCAATTTTCCGAGAAAAGCTGAAAAACTGTTTTTGTCGTTTTCTATTCATTTGTTTTGCGAAAAAAAGTCATAGGAGTCTGAAATTTGGAGCAAACTTGGCATATTTAATGACAAACAGGAGACCACGTAAAATTGAGCCGTTTTCGAGATAATCGCGATTTTCGAAGAGAAATCTCTTTCTCCGTGGGGTGAAAAAACTTTTAACGAACACTAAATTCTTTTACTGAAAGGAAAAGTGGCTATTGGAAAGGACGTTTAAAATTATGCAAATCTCGGACGATTTTTGACGTTATTGCTACAGAAACGTGCCCAAAAATTAGAAAGGAAAAATTTACATGAAAAAAAAAATGATTAAAACTCGTTTCCAAATTCCACCTTTTGTGCACTGAGATGTTGAAAGTGTTCCCGCGGGGCAACCCCTTCGACTGACAAATTTCATCCAAAATTCCCACCTTGGAAGTTACCTTAAAAATTACACCGTTAGCGAAACGAAGTCATTGCTCGAACTGTAAGGCCCCCACAGGCCCCCTTTTCCCATTGAGGCTTAATTTCTTCCGTGGGTTGCCCAAATCGGCAATTGCATGCGAAATGAGCGCCAACGGATACAGGTGCTCCAGAAACGCGGCGTGACTCACTGCAGTGGTCAATATTTGTACAGGTAAAAATCGATAACGTTTCATTGTGGGAGCATAACCGGTATAGTGCGCAGTCGCGCAGGTAACAGTAAATTCCAGTCACCTTTCGGCGTCGGTTAAATAATCAGTTTCTTTGTGTTCTTTGCTACGCGCACGGCGCCGTGAGAGCCCTCGAGTTTCATTCATTGCTTCGTAGTGCTTCGCGTTTTTTTTTTGCTGTTTCTCTCGAACGAAAGTGAACCGTTTTCTTTTGGATTATTGCGAATTTGGCGGATTTAATTTTTTTGGTGAGTACCCCGTGCGGTAATATCCGAAGAAAAAATCTTAACTTAACCCACTCATTGTCATACGGAACTCGTTCCAAACTCGTTCCCTACAAACAGGAAACTTGAACTGGCGGGTGGCGCATTCGAAACTTGCAAAATTTCGGATTAGCACTTAAAATGCTTCTATCCTTCCAGCGCCAATTAGCAATGCCAATTTCGTGCATAATTATGCCATTAATAACAGCGTTAATAGGGGCAATAAATTAATTACGAAACACAATCACGTGCTCGCGAGCCTTTTTCATCGAAAAACTTCCTAAATTTAACTTTTTATATAATTCCTCGTCGCCTTCAATTTAGAAATGAGTAATTCAGCCCTCGGTCCCCACCCCCCTCTTGCGTTATGGCTTACATTTTTTTATTTTGAAATTGAACCTCCCACCTTATTTCGGTTTGTTTATTTATTTGCTGTTAAATTAGAAGGAAATTCGACTTGGTCCTCCTCCGCCCAATATCTTTGAAGGTTTATTGTTTATGGTTTTTTTTTAAATTTTCATTTAAAAAATCATACCGTGCACACCCAGTAGTGACCTCGGTAGTGACTGATCGATATTTTTGTCAACTGTCAATGATTTCAAAATAAATTGCCCCCCCCCCTACATTATTTTGTTTTTTACAATTTAGTTGCAAACCCGCCGTCGAGTTTAAAAGTTCTTTAATTAGAAATTAGAATTCTCTGCGACAAAAGGGTACTTGTAGGATTTTACTCAAAACGCGTTCTAGGGGCCTTATGAGGACGGCTAGAATTGTCTTAATTTTTTCATAAACGAATGAGACGACTCCTAATTAGGTTCAAGTACTTACACTTGAAATTAGGCCTAACCCGGTCAAGTTTGCAATTGATTTCAATTCTTTCTTAAATAAAGTAGAAAACTCCTAATTGAATTTGAGTATATCTACTTGAAATTAAACCCCCAGGGCAGAGATTATGTTAGGGGTGCATAAACATTAGTTCATTTTTAAATGAATTAGAGGTTTCCTAATAAATTATTATTATTACAATTATTATTGTGCTTGTACAAATTAAAGGACTCTTAAGTTCAAGTGTACTTGCAATTAAGCTTCTGAATTCATTGGTCTCCAAAGAATGTCTCAAAAATGTTCCTAGGTGTCTTAAAGCTCTTTTCAGGAAACTCCAAGGAAATTGTTTCTTTAAGAACATTTGCTCACAACAAATGTTTCGATGCTTGTGACACCTAGGAATGTCTTATCACGGACAGTAGGAATCTTAGGGATAGACGTGTGAAAAGGAACCCAAGAGGAGGATTTAGGGATTTGAAGATTTAAAGACTGAAAGAACTCTTCATCAGCTGTAACCATAGGGAGATTTGGCCAAGGATCACTTAAGAATTCCTCAAATTCGCCCTGAAAATCTCCAAAAAATCTTCCAAATATATTCAAAATTGTCCTTTCTAAATCCTCTAAATGATCTTAAATAACCTCAAATTAGAACGTTCCAAACAGCTCAGGAATCGTCCAAAGATATCCCATAAATCTTCCCAGAATCTTCAAAAAAGGGTTTTTGCAAATCTCGCTTGGCCTCCCAAAAAATTTTTGAGGTCTGAAGGGGCAACTCAGATTTGTACTCAGATGTTTTGTATACCTTCGACTCGTGCGGTAATAAAATAGGCCCGTTATTAATGACACTTGCGTCTGAATCTCGCATTGATCTCAACTAAATCCAGAACTATCCTATGAATCCCAAAATATAACTTTAGAAATCCTCGATCGTTCCTAGGATTTCTAGAAATCTCCATAAAGTTCCTCAAGAATCACGCAACAATACCAGGAACCTCCTCAGAACTTACCAAGAAACGATCTACTACAAAACTGTCAAAAAATCCCAATCAGAGATGTATAGCAAACGTGTCCCAGGAGACTCCCAAAATGACCTCTCACAACTGAAAGAAATCCAGTTTTTGTTATAAAAACAGCATGATCGGTATTAATGTGACCTTGAATGTGACCGATTTTGTCAATCACTGGTATCCAAGGTAGAACTTAATTACGGACGATTGCACTTAATTGCCCTATAAGTCAATTACACCAGCAAATAAATTGGGATTCGTACAGACCCAACTTCTTTGCAACTGTAAACGGATGATGACCCTATAAGTTTGGGTTCTTAATTTGTCATAAAGGTAGCTTCCCAATTTACGCATGATCGAGACAAACTTTGATAATTACTGCCTCTCAGGATTAATTTTTGCTTTATGGACCTAATTACCAAAACCCCCTAATTTGAATGCTAGGAAGGCGGCAGAAGATGGATAATTGATTCCGCAAGAAAGTGTTGTAATTGTCAATTGTGCCAAATTGGACCTAGAAGGCAACGCGTCTTCTTCCAGTTGCCACAGATGGGGAAAATTGAATGGACGGTGTTTCGGTACACTTTCCACAATTGCAGAGCACTTCAATGGGCATCAGAAAAGGAAACCTCAATAAGGCACGCATTTATTGCTGTCGTCACGTCTCACAACACATGTCAGTTATCGAAAGCAATTAACGAGCAAATAAAAACAATGGGCCAGCTGACTGGTAAACCAGGTTAAACGACATGTTGCAGATATTTACCAATTATCGTCTACCTGACAGCTGAAAACCGATTATAGGTATAGGAACAACGGCAGCGAAATAATTGACTCTGTAACAATCATGGCCTCATAAACTACAAATTTAATTATTCGGTGGAATGCAAAATTTTTGACAAATGGCGTAGGTACCTACGGTTTGGTCTCTAATTAATTAAAGATGAAAATTAGTGACCCATGATGAAACCTCAGTAGTAACCATCGGGCTCTAATTATAATCTGTGGTCATTAATTACGTCTCCTAACTCGTCTCCAAATTTGATGATGCAATTAGAAAATTAGTGAAATTATAAGTAATTCTGGATCCAATCCACCGATAGGGTTAGAATAATTGGGAGACTATTTTGGTTACGGATTTACGCCTCAAATTACAGGATTCTTTAGTAATTTACATAATTAGTCGCAAGTGTAATTAAAAGTTTATCGAGAAACGGCCGTTTTGGGAGATTCTTAAAAGTTTTTTGAAAAATTCATGGGGTATGTCTTGGGAGTGATTTATTTTTCGACGTGTTTTTGAAACGTTCCCAGGCAACCATGCTTATAAACATTCGAAAGTAATAGAGTATTCTTCAAAGAGTCTTAAAAAAGTTGATGGGTTATTTTGAAACATTTTGATGGAGATTATTTGCGATTCTTCGCACAATTTTGGGCGATTATCAAAAATCTGGAATATTTTTGAGGATACTTTTAGACTCGGGTACCTGCCACGACCACTCGGAATTCGGCCGGTATCCAAGGGTCACCGTTATCGACACACACATCGAAGAATAGGACCATTGAAGGGACCTCTCAAAGATCACCCAGGATATCGGAAGCGCTACAGAATTTTTTTTCGATATTTTTAGTGATGTGTAATGGAATAGGTACTCTACAAGTGTCCATTGCTTAACTCTTATCGTTCCTGAAACGTCAAAAACAAACACCGCTATCAGATAACCTGATGGTATTTATCTACAGCGAACCAGCTCAAGCACCTCCCTCAAGTACAAGAGATGGCTTCCGTACTTGCAGAGACTTTGAGATGATGATGACTGTGTCACTAGAATGCGCTGGAAAGGGCAACTTTGTTGACTTATAAATCGCCATGCTTTCGTTGGCCCTAATACGGCACTATCTTATCAGCGTACACAATCTCTAAGAGAGCAAGATCAATAAACTACGCATCGTGCACCAAACTCGTCGACTCTTTTTGTTTCAAATGAAATGAAAGTTCCGTGATCTAAATTCTGCACGCACTTGACGTTACGGTTAAATGAAAATTACCTATTGTGTACTTGGTCGAATACCAAAACAGCAATTATCCAGATGAGATTTCGCGTTTTGTCACGCTCACGCGTTTCGAATTCCGTTATGCAATTTTGAAGAGCGTTCCGAGTTTTTGTCGGCTCCTGTATTAAGTCGCGACCTTTTAAAAGTACCGCTTTCGTTTGTTGCGGTGACCAGCAGTAGGTACTGACATTATCAAGAAACTAATTAAAACACTATTTTGATTTAATGCCTTAAACACAAGTAACTTAAACCCAATTATAGAAGTTCGCTAATTACCGCCGTTTTGGTAGCAAACGCCATTTGTTTTTGTTTCCCGTTTGCCATTTTTTTGTATTTTTGTTTGATCGTTGTGAGATTGTAGTTGGGGTTGTTTTTAAGTAACGATCGTTTTTTATAGAATGTGAAGAAAAAGAACAAGTTAAAAAGTAATCGTAAACGATTTACATAAAGCGCATTTCCACTTGCATTCATTTCCCATTTGTAAGATGCAACTTCTGTTAAAATCGTAAAAATCCGGCCACAACTATGAAAGATAGCGTTGCACATGGGCAATCCATTTTTGACGTGCTACTTCAATTTCAGTTTATGAGAAGAATTTCATGCTTTTCTAAATAAGAAAGTTGGAACTGCGCATGCGCAAACCTAAATTTTAAAACTAATGTTAGATTTTCCTTTGTTCCAAGCGCCTAAGTATCAAATTTCACTTAAATGGTTCCATAGATAAAAAAGTTGGCACTGCGCATGCGCAAAACCAAATTTTGAAATTGGCGTTTGATTTTCCTTTATTCCAAGTGCCTATGTATCAAATTTCATTCAAATACTTTTATAGGTAAAAAAGTTTGCAATTCGGTTTATAAATGGTCGAGATGCGAAAAGGGCACTGTGAATTTTGAATCGATTCGATTCAACTTTGGGCATTGCGTATTATATGGCTAAAGCTATGCCCATATTGAATTTCATGCAATTCAGTTCATAACTAACGGAGATGTAAAAGCGATCGAACATTTCTAAACAAAGTTATCGTTTACACGGACAGATAGATGGACAGACAGACAAAGGAACAGACGGACAGACCAACCGGCAGGCGACAGATAGCAATGCAAAATTATAAACGATCTCTAGGATCGTTAATAAACGGCAAAAGTGTAAAATTATGGAACATGTAAAAAACGGTTTTTTGTTCTGTTTTATTATAACTTTTTTTGTAAGCGGTACAGAAAAAATTCCTTCCTTGGTACAAGACTCGACACCATAACGAACCAAATAGCGAAAAAAGTAGAACAATAGCTCTTAAGATAAAGAACTAGTAGCGTCGCAAAACCAGCGGACGGACGGACGGACGGAAAAAGGGGCCACAATAGCGCATTTTTTTTTATTTTTGTGGAAATGCGCTAAAAAGCATTTCGATTCGGCTCAAAAAAGCACCAATATATTGATGGTCTCGTTTTTAGTCAAACTTGGCGAATAGGTTGACAAAAATGAGACTAGCGTTGATTTCACACAAAATTTTAAGTAATATCGATGTTTAGGTCCCCAAAAAGATCACTTAGGGGCCCCCCCCCCCCAAACTTGTTCACTCACTTAATCTCGTAGTTTAGCGTCGATTTTAGCAAAAAATAGAAATAGTAATTTTTTCAATAAGATTTTCTGAAAAATTGAGGTTTTCATGTCGATTCTGATTTAACGCCCTTGCGACTATACTGTAGGGATGGTAAGCATATATATAGAAGATCGTCTCTAAAGTAATCGTTTATTAACAAAAAGTTCCAAGAATTTCGCCTGCAAGTGCCCATTTTGCGTCCATCTCTATTAGTTTTTTAATTTTCACTTTGGCGTCCTCTTTCGTAGACTCTTTTGACTTTTTTCAGGGAGTGAAAGTGTCGTACGAGAGCTTCCTCTTTCTATCGCCATGCCAACCCTTCGAATACCTTGAATATTAGCGAAATTATTAATTTTTTTGTAAAGGTATTCAAAATTAAAAAAATGGAAATTGGAATTGGAAATGGAAACCAAGTCAGTTAATTATTTTATGAATTTCTTTCTATTTTTGTAATTTCCGTACCCAAATGTATGAAAAAGCTACGATTTTTGACCATTTTTTTCGATTTTTCCGAGGGAAGGGTATAATAGTATGGAAAATTTACCATTTTGAATTTTTTCGAATAACTTTTGAAGTACATTTCGTATTTCGACGAAACCTTCTGTAACGTGTTTGAGATAAATTGCAACATCAGACATGCCAGTAGATGGAATCGGAAACGTTTTTGAATTTTTTGAGGGGCGCATTTTTGTTTCTTGGGAATACCAAGAAATTTGGATTCAATTGCTGTGCGCACTACGATTTTTTGCGCATGCATTTTGTTTCGTTCGTTCAAATTGCCCCATAAATAAGAAACTTCCGTTTTGCGCATGCGCATAGGCTACCGGGGGGTTTGGGGATACATGTACCCCGAATGTAAATGACGCCCAATCTCACACTTATATAGGACGGCTGACGCATTGCTCGGCTTCGCCTCGCACGTTAAAACACACAAGGAGCCACATTTCGGACTTCGGTGGTTGTGCATCAGCGGTGGGGGGGGGGGGGGGGGGGGAGTGCGATTTGTGCTTCGATACATCCACCCGTTTTCCCGCTACTTTGCCCTCTAAGCGGGACGGGGGGAATGTAACCTAAATATAGATGTCTTGCACTAGTATAGGACCGCTGATGACACATTGCTCGGCTTCGCCTCGCACGTTAAAACACACAAAGGAGCCACATTTCGGACTTCGGTGGCTGTGCCGCCTCGCCTCGCGCATTTACTCAAATTGCCGTCGCTTCTAGAACGCGACTGAGAGATAGTGGAATCCAACGTAAAAAGATTCTAGCCCCCGTCGTTTCCGAGTAAATGCCAAAATTGACATAAGCGGGAGGGGGGGGGGAGTACGATTTGTGCTTCGATACATCCACCCGCTCTCCCTCTACTTTGCCGCTAAGCGACGAGGGGGGGGGGATGTAACCTGAATGTGGATGTCTTGCGTTTGTATAGGACCGCTGATGACACATTGCTCGGCTTCGCCTCGCACATTAAAACCCACAAAAATACACATTTCCGGTTTCGGCGACTGCGCCGCCTTGCCTCGCGCATTTACTCAAATCAATTTACGCAATCCAGCTGTGAGGCCAACGGGAAAAACGTCATCGCGTTCAGGCGTCATAGCTTCGCCTCTGCCCAGCGGAGGAGGATGTGGGGGGGGGGGGGTGTTTCAAATCGTCGTCGATTCTAGAACGTGGCCAATCGATATAGGAACCAACGTAAGACACAGCATCCTTCTAGCCCTCCTCGTCTCTAAGTAAACGCCGAAATAAGAGAAAAGTGCCATTTATGAGCAAATTAGGGGGGAGGGGGGTTCAACCGGACGCTTCTCACACCCAGTTTAACTGCGAAACCTAACACTCAAAACCGCAACTTGATACTTCCCCCCCGGTTCGCCCGCTACGGCCTCTCAACTTTACCCCTACGCCTCCGGGAGGGGGGAGGGGGAGGAGTGAAACCGGAAAATGGCACGCTGAAAACACCGCGACGTCTCGCGTCTGATTCGCCACATTCGCTTTCCCAAAACGCATTTTGCCTTTCTTTGACCCCCTCGTCACCCCCCTGAATATAGGTAATCTTTTCTGAAAAAATTACAGACTGCGCGTCAGCCGATGCTCTCAACATGATAAACTTTCACACAAATTCTATCTTCATGTTTTCAAGTGATTCGCGAAAAAGTGCCTAAAAACGTCATTCGCGCTTTCCCGTCCTGCCCACGCGCCTCTCCGCGATCGAACCCCGACCCGGCACCTCGGAAACGCCTTCAAACTACGACGCCAACAAAGAACTCTATACGCCTCCTCCTCCCGTTCCCCTGCTACGACCTAATTACTGTACCTTCATCCGTGGAGGAGGGCGCGTGTGATTTGTCATATCCTCCTTCCCGTAATGCCATTTCCTATTTTTCCCAGGGGAAACTCCGTGTTACCTTCGAAAATCCGTGTTACCCCCAAAAAACGCACTTTTTTTCAAAAAATTCCCACACGCTCCGCTTCGCGTCGCGCGCTTCACCCACCGTACTATTCGTTCGTGCCACCGAGCGGGCTAATCGCGCGTAATGTACAGGCTTTTCGTATCTCCCCTCCTTTGACCGCTACGAATTTTTAAAGTCGCGTATTTAACCGAAAACGGCATAGTGGGCAAACTTGGCGCCCCCGGGACGGGGGGGGGGGCGAGCTGAATCGAAAAAAATTCGAAAATTACCTACTCCTAACGGCTGCGGATTCCGAAAATGCGTTTTATAGGGAAAAAGAGGAAAATAGGGGGTGTGAGGGAGGGGGGAAAAGGTTTCGAATATTTCCTTCCTTTAAGAAAATATCGAGAATTATGCGACTTCAACAGCTGAACTTAATTGCAAGAGCCGAAATTTAATTACGGGCACAAATTTCCACTATACTTACACCCGAGCTTTACACCTAATTAGGAATTCACTAATTTATTTGAGAAATAATTAGGATTTATGCGCCCTTGAAGGATTAATAATAATATACTTGAACCTAATTAGGAGTCCCTATAATGAATCCAAGAAAGAATTACGATTTGTGCGCCCTTATAATGATCATTGCCTTAGTTAATTTCAGGTATAATTCACACTAATTAGGAGTCCTATAATTCACTTAGGAGGGCTTTGAAATTTGTCTAATGCCCATGCTGTTCCTTCCTTATTGGTATTTTTTGTAGTTCGTGAAGCTCGGGAGTCTCAAACGGCACCTAATGAGGAGTTCTATAAAAAAAGGAGGCGAGTTCGGCTTAAATAGTATTCGTGCCGTGCAATCGACTACTGAAAATTAAAATTTAGTCACAGCCCTTGAGGCGATTTCATACGAGGCTATTTCCATAATTAAACGAATTTGTATCCGATCTGTAATTAATCCTTAACCGCAAGCGCATGTATCAATTAAGTGCAATTACGGAACATTCCCATCTCTGTCCGCGTGTAATTAGAACAATCACCGGGTTTGGTCGACTATGAGCGCGCTTTAATTTATTTATATCGAGCGCTCGTCTATTTCATAATAGTGAAAGCAATAACAGCAACAAAGCTACAAGAAAAATGGCATGGAAGTAAGCGTGACATTCAATAATGTATACCTTTACCCGCGTTATTACTACATTTTCTTTGCGAGTAATCCGCATACTGACGTAATTACAAAGTTTAATTGCAAAATTACGTTAGTGTGACTAATTCAAATCTCATTTTACTGTTAAGAGTATCGTTACCCACGCGTATCAATTGATAAGTGATCATTGAACGCGACCGACACATCGTCCAAATTAATTTCCTGGCTTGGGCAACAAAAGCCGCTCTGTTCAAATATCGTTTAATTTCAGATCTCTACGATGAGGAAATCCGAGGAGAACGTACCGCAAATGCGTCTGATAATTGAATTCGGTGCAGTGCGGCGTGACGAGAGTGCCTGTTAAAAAGAATGCAGACCTTGGAAGATTACATTTTAGAAATGGAAAATCGTAGTGCCATACGACAGAATTCGAACACGGACGATCTTTGGACGCAATTGCAGCAGAAGGAGAACGACCTGGTGCTCGCCGCCGAGTTGGGCAAGGCGCTCCTGGAGAAGAACGAGGAGCTGACGAAGCAGCACGACGCGGCGGTCGAGGATTTTTGCAAAAAGCTCGAGGTAAGTTTGTTCGAATGATTCAAGTCACGGATTTGCTCGGGCGCCAAAAGCAAGGCTTCCTTCAGGAGGGTCAACATGAATTGATCAAAAAAATCTTTATATCATGCAGACGTGCATGATAAAACATGAAACCGCTCTATTTACACTTTTGGAAAGGCTTACCGTTACAATTTTAGCAAAATCACACACGCAACTAGAAATTTACTTTGGCGCAAACACGCAGTCAATTTTGTCATGCGCATCCTAAAACCGAGGACGCACGAACATATTCTACGTTAAAATCTGAGCCACTCCAACACTTAGATAGCAAATCTTGCAATTCAAGTCAGAATTCTGTAACTATAGTCAGAGTTGTGAGGTCCAAGACGATTTCTTCCATACTAGTAATCCCAATCGGAACTTGGTCAGGTACAAATGCTCCGTGAAAATCGGATCCAATCCATTTATTAGAAAGTAAATTTTGCCATTCGTCTTTTTGAAACCAGATTCAAAATTCTAAGATAAAAGATGATTTCTTCTACGTTGCTAGTCTTAATTCCAAGGTGAAGATCAACATTAAAAATGGAATTCCAAATTTTGGAATTAAAGTCAGAATTTTGAAACCTGACTTTAGAATTTTGAGGCCCATGATGCTTGCTTGTACACTCTACCTTGTAGTTTGGTGGTGGATGCGTCAGGTACTTTCAAATTCTCCGTGAAAATCTTGTAAAATGCAGTTCCTAGAAGGCAAATTATGCAATTGAGGTCATAATTGTGGAACTAGCCAGAATTGTGAGGCAAAACACGGTTTCTTGTACACTGTAGTCGAAATTTTGGGGTGAAGGTAGTTCAGATTCAAATTCGCCATGAACATCTGATCCAATCCAATTCACAGAAGGCTAATTTTGCAGCTCAAGTCAGAATTTTGTAACCGGACTCAGAATTATGAGGGAAAAGCCCTCGGAAAAGCCTATTTCATGTACGTTTCTAGTCGTAACGCAAAGTGGAAGATCAAGATTAATATTGAAATTTCAAATTTACCGTGAAGATCCGATTCTTATGAGGTAAATTATGCAATTTAAGTCATATAGAAAACCAAAGTCAGAGTTGTGAGGTCCAGGACGACATTTCGGGTCTTAATTCTGAAGTGAGGACTAAGATTCATAATGCAGTTGCGTTAAAATCTTATTCAGTCAAATTCTCAGAACATTTTGCAATTCAAGTCAGAATTCTGTAATCAGAGTCACAAATCTGAGGTAAGACAATTTCTTGTACACACCAATCCGTAATTCCAAGGTGAACTTGATCAATTACACATTTTCCGTCAATCTCTGATCCAATCCATTTCTTCAAAGGTAAAATTTGCAATTCAAGTCACAATTTTGAGGTTAAAGGCGATTTCTTGTGCGTTTCAAGTCATAATTCCAAAATGAAGATTAAGATTAATGGTGTAGTTTGAAATTCCCCGTGAAGATCTGATACCATCCAATTCATATAAGGTGAATTCAAGTCAGAATTTTGAAACCGAACTCAGAATTCTGAGCTAACAGACTATTTTTGGTACATTTCAAGTCGAAGTTCCAAGGTATAGTGCAGTTTCAAACTCACAAGGTCTGGCACAGTCCAATCCTTAGAGGACAAGTTTTGGAAACCAAGTCAGAATCTTTAGACCCTTCTAGATGAGGTAAAAGATGATTTCTTGTACATTTCAAGTCGCAATCCCAAGGTGAAGATTAAGATTCATCGCGCAGTTCGAAATTGTACCAGAACATCTTATTCAATCCAATTCTTAGAAGGAATATTCAAGTCGGAATTCTATAACCAGAGTCACAATTGTGAGGTGACAATTTCCTGTACACACCAATCCGTAATTCTAAGCTGAACTAGGTCCGTTACAAATTCTCCGTGAAAATCTGATCCAATCCATTCCTTCGAAGGTAAATTTTGCAATTCAAGTCATAATTTTGAAACTAGAGTAAAAATTGCGAAGTCTATGACAATTTTTTGTACATTTCAAGGCGTAATTTCAAGGTGAAGATTAAGATTCATAGTACAATTTTAATTTCTATGTGAAACCTTATCCAATCAAACTCAGAAGGAGCATCTTACAATTCAAGTCAGAATTCTGTAACCACAGTTACAATTGTAAGGTGAGACTACCCCTTGTACACGTACGCTGGGAATTCCAGAGTCATAATTTTGAAACCGGATTCGGAATTCGCAATTTAAGTCAGAATTTTAAATCCAGTCAAAATTGTGGTGTAAAGGACAATTTAGTGCACAATTCCGAGGTGAAGGTTAAGATGTAGTGTAGATCCAATTTTTCTGTGATAATCCAGTCCAATCCAATTCTTAGAAGGCGAATTCTGCAAACCAAAGCCAGAATTGCGAGATCCTAGACGATTTTTTGTACACACGATTTGGAAATTCAAGTCAGAATTTTGAAATCAGTCAGAATTGTGAGCTAAAGGACGGTACCATTCAAGCCGTAATTCCGATATGAACTTAAGAATCGTAATAAATTTTAAATCCTCCTTAAAGATATGTCTTAATTCAATTCCTAGAAGGCAAATTTTAAGTTGAATTTTAACTCAGAATTCTGCTACCGCAGACAGGCGTTTTTTAAAAATACACTTTAAAATCCCAAAAGGCATCGAAAGTAGGTATTGTATGGAAATTATTAATTAGTTGCTTCATTATTTTACGAATCGCCACTTATTCTCATAATTTAGAAGTTAGACCTAAGTACGCTAAATTGTCTAGTTAATTAATTACCTAATTGTTGAGTAATTACTATGTGAAGATCTTATACTAATTTAAGAGTACTAATTAGCTGTAAATAGAGATTTTAGTAGTCAAGTGCTTACCTATTGAAATAGAAAGTGCTTGGTAGGGTAATTAACCCATAATTAATTAAAAATGTCACGATCCGAAGACGTATTTCTATAAATCTGTCACCTCTTTTACGCCAATTAAGAAAACGTGATTGACAAGATTAATATTGTCTTATTGTTGTTACAATATATGTCTAATTTGATAATTAATTATCCCTTAGTCCCCGACTAATTAATTACTTCTTAGTTATTAGGCATTTTTCGTGTTGACATCAATACATCTGCCTGTGTATTACATCAATAACTAATAATTAATTACTGTCAGTAATTACATAGGATTCTTGGCAACTAATTAATTAAATTAGGTTCAAAGAGCACTCTTTCGTTCAGTCGGATTTTCGATTCCGTGGACCATCGCTCTTCACTTTTATTGTGCAATTAAAAACACCGGTAGCTTCTTTATTGGTCCAAGATTCTTCATGAAATATTCATTTATGCACAAAAAGTAAAATTTGGCATGCAAGCGTTTTCTTTACCGAACAGAAGTGTGACATAACCCAGTTATTACGAAACGTTCGAAAGTAAAGTGGAATTAATTTTACCTTGCTCAGTTTAAAATTAATGGCTCATTCACGGTTGCTCGCCGAACGATGCCAAATTAGATCGTTCCCGCGAAGATTTTTTGACGGCACGGGAAGTCCTTTGTCCCATTGTCGTCCGTTCACCAAACAAGGCTGGGTCGTTGCACCTTTCCTGTTTATTTATCGAATTTATTAATTTTCCGGCAAAAAAGAGGCCATTGCTTGCCAACATCCGTTATTATTACGCCATAAACACAAAACGGTAAATCGGTCATCATCTCAAAGGAAGAGAGTCCCAATTCTAACGACCGGAATTTGAATAATTTGACAAAGTTTGATTGCTGTCCCAAACCATTTCCTACTTGGGACGAACGATCGACAACCGTGCTCTTTGTGTCAGAAGTTTGGAATATTCGAGGGAATATTATGTCAGTGGGGCTCCAGAATATGTAATTCCTTGTGTATTTTTTGTAATTTTATAAATAATAATAATTAAATTAAAATATATATAAAAAAACACACACATACATTAAGGAAATATAGGAATAGTATGTAATTCATACTTACCAAAATAGCTATTGATACCTACGCTATCAAAAAAAATTAAAAAAAAAATATTTAAAAAAATTTCAAAAAAAAAATTTTTTTTAAATTATTATTATTATTATCATGCACATAAAAGCTTTCAAAGGCTTTCGGAAGTTCTGTGCCCCTTTTACAGTTTTTTTGCTATGTCGAAACTTCTGGAAGTCACGTATTAGTTAATGCAAAACTCCCAAAGGCTTTCTTTTAAAAGGTGCCTAAGGAGTCTGAGGCTTTTCTTATTTCTTCCAAAGGTCTAGGATTTTCTTGTGGGAACTTCCTTCGTCTTCTCAGTGTATTTTATGAACGCTTTGTGATAGAGGCCATAGAAAACGCTCCGCTGTCTAGAGTTTTGTGAACTCGTCTTCGGTTCGCTCTGCACTGGTTTCTAAGTTGTCACTTTTATGTGGAAATTTAATCACAGGCCTATTTTAATATCAAAATCAAAGCAAAGGCATGAGAAAAAGACAGTGATAGCTGTAAAGGCGGTGCCGAGCGAGCCGAAGACGAGTTCGCTAAAACCTAGGCATAGTAAAGGTCTGATAGGATAAGTTGAAAGCCTCTACTCCGCCTAGGTTTGTGCTGAACTCTCCTTCGGCTCGCTCGGCGAACTCGCCTTCGGCTCAAAGTTATCACTTTTACGTGGAAATTTAATAATCAGGCCTATGTGTAAATCGATCGAGCCGAAGGCACGCAAAAGTGATAGTTGGAAGAGCAGTGCCGAGCGAGCCGAGGCGAGTTCGCACAAACCTAGGCATAGTAAAGGTCTGATGGGATAAGTTGAAGCTCTACTCCGCCTAGGTTTGTGCCGAACTCGCCTTCGGCTCGCTCGGCACTGGTTCAAAGTTATCACTTTCACGTGGAAATTTAACCACAGGCCTATGTAAATGTCGATCGAGCCGAAGGCACGCAAAAGTGATAGTTGGAAGGGCAGTGCCGAGCGAGCCGAGCCGAGTTCGTACAAACCTAGGCATAGTGAAGGCCTGATGGGATAAGTTGAAGCTCTACTCCGCCTAGGTTTGTG